TACTAGGGATAATATGGCGATCAAGCCGAAATGTTCCATCTGAATTAAACCTAAAATAAATTATTCTAGGCGAATTTTTCTCGCCTCCAAGTGTCTAATACTACATCTGCACTTTTCGATGATTGTAGGGATAAAATATAGCGATTTAATTACGATTTTTCTATCTAAATTAAATCTACGATACATTATCCCTGAAAAACTTTCCGCTTGTTGATACCTTATGACTACCTACTATAATGATAGCTGAGATAATAGGATGATCTAGTTAAGATCTTCCCTTTAAATGAAATCGAAAATAAGTTATCCTGGCCAAACTCTTCTCGCATCCCCACGCCCAATAACTGCCCATTTCAATGATAGTAAGGAAAACATGGCGATCCAATTGAAATCTATTTATCTAAACTAAGCCTAAATTAAATTATATCAGTGGAACTTTTTATGCCGTTTAATACCTAATGAGATCTAATCTCAATAGTTTCTGAAAAAATATTCCTATTCAAATCTTTCTATCTAAATTAACCTAAAATACATAATCTCAGCCAAACTTTTCAATTTCCTCAATATCACATATCAGTTACACTTGGTTCTTTCCACCTTAATGACCAATAATTCGATATTAAATTTAAAACGCCAGGGACAAAAATCTTTAAGCTACCAATCTACAACTAAGAGTTAAAATGCATATGAATGAAGGAAACAGGAATCGAATTAATTAAATCACAAATTTTTCTGCATACTATTCTTAAACTGATTTTTATAAAAAGATGAAATTCACAAATCTGGAAATTTTCTCTTGATAATACTTTATGGCAAAAGCTATTCTAATTAAAAAATAAAATTTTAGAGATAGAGAAAATAGATAATATCTGCACTATTTATTTTACTAGTGACTGCTCTAATAACAGCAAGTTAAATCTCAGTTTTAGGCATACTTTACTGCAACTAATCTTTATGAGAATACAATTAGTTTTATACTTATTGGAACTTTTATTTCCATATTTCGTGGCATAAGTAATTCTAATTACGACATTACATTTAACATGGATTAAGAAAATACTGCAATACGCGCTCACTGTTCTATCGTAATAACAACAATGTTAGATTATATCATATACCATATTTATATTCATTTTTGTATTCATTCCATCATATACCATCTTAATACCATATCAATCAGTTAAATCTCAGCTGTTATCACTTGTAGAAGTGATAAATGGCATATTTTATAAGCTATAGAAAGCCTGATTGCCGAATTTTTTTTCTATATCTATATACGGCAAGATTAGTGCACAACTTAAGTACTCATGGTTCTCTTCTTATATCTCCATTTGCTACCATTTTCATTAAAGCTATAAACAACTCTTCCTATTATCTATAGTTCCTCATATATTTTACATTGCTCCAATATTCGTTGGAAGACAAAACTAGCTATCAATTTCACACTTGCATTTGAAGGACTTAAATTGATCGGAAATAAAAAAACTAATTTTATATTGGCAATACTAAAATTTAATTATCTCATTTTCTTTCAACTAATCTTTCCAATGAAACTTCTCGATCTTGGTCAATACCTCTTTAGCTTGTCCTTTTTGAATAATCTTTGTGGACTGAAAGAGGAAACTGTAAGTGTATCATCTCCATTTAATACTGAAATAGACAGTCTACTGTAATAAGGAAATGACTGACATAACATACTAATCGTTCTTCGCTAAGATAGCTTAAGCAGTTTTTATGATGACTAAATCTAATATCTTAAAGTTTTAAAAGTATCTAAATATCATTTATTAGATACACATATCCCTGGGCTAGTAAGATTTTGGCTATTCTTTCCTACTTTTCCCACATCTGTTAATTTAATCCATGGCATCCTCAGCATCATCATCTCAGCAGATCCAATGGGATAGCGCAAAAGGTAAGATATGCCGTAGTAGTTTGAGCTTACTCTGTGTAAAATATGCTTTAACCATCGATAAAATAAGCAGCTTAAATACTCTACTCACCAACAGCTTGATTCCAACTATAATATCATTGAAAGGTTTTAAATCTTCATTTAAAGAATTGAATTTAATTTTATGCATCCGCAATTTTATTTTATTGATTGCTTACTATCGTATCAAGATCACATATAAAATTACAATGATTTAGAGCTTTTAATCTAATGAATCTTCATCAGGTCTCAAGATTATGACTTATAGCAAGGCAAAATTATCCTTCACTTAAGTTTCATAATAGACTAGATATTAGATTACTTCATCCTGTCGATCCCTATCATGGGTATCCTTGCATTTAATTTCATTGATCGAAATAGAATTTCCTTCGTAAATAATTTTAAGATTCATTTTGCTAGATTGATCAAATCCGCCTTGATCACCTTAAAATTTAGTTTAAAATTTTAAGTTCCATTTTGCTAAGCAGATCAAGTCCGCCTCATTCGCTTTTAAATTTAGTTTCTTGATAGGTTAGAAATTATGATAACTTCATTCTATCGATCTCTATTGCATCTGCTTCTATCCACTTAAAATTTAGCTCATTAATTTTATAGTGATGGTAAATAGACTACTCCTTATTTCCTAATTCGATATAGATATCTTCTTATGAGAAAATTATACTCACATTTTGCAATGTTAATCAAATCTACCTTGGACTACTTTACAATTAGCATATGCACCGGGTCCCCATGTAGCAGTGGATGTGTTTGTATTTATTTCTAGACCGATGTAGAATTTCCCTTGTGAGCAATACGTAGCCTTATTTTGCAGTAGTAATTCAATCTGATAAGCATAGCTTCCAAATTAGTTCATTTATTCGATCGCTATAGTAGATATAGTTGAACTCACTCAATAAATCAATGTCAAATTTCCTTAGCAGAAATGCCTAGTTATACTGCTCAAACGTGAATCTTTTTAGAATGAATTTATTTTCTCGATTCCTTTGCAATATTCTGATACTTTATTCAAAAGATTGATGTACCAAAATGATCATTTAGAGCAATAACTTGCATCATTTTGCATTCTGATAAAATCTACCTACAATACTATTAAAATTGCTTCATTGACTTAATTTCTACCATGTAGTAGATATCCTAGCATCGGTTCAACAAACTGATATAGAATTTTCCTTGTAATGAATGCCTACAATCATTTTATTTTACTTATCAAATCAAGTTCGAAAGTCTTTAAAATATATCGGACTTAATTTTTTATGCAACTAGAATAAAACATCCTGGTATAATCCTACATGATATAAAGGATTTTCCTTTAAATAGATTTAAAACAACTTTAGAATAGTTCTACAATATCCAACGGCGCCCTAGTAATTGATGTTACAACGCAAAACATTTGAATAAGTTTGAATATATATAAAATTAACTCTGAAACTATCATTCACGTCCACACTCTACCATTTTTTAGCGCTTTCTCAAATTATCCTGATGAAAGCTTTTTATTGACTTGTGCAGACTCTTGAAAGCTTGTGTTTATTTTATCTACCTGCTTTTAAATAAAATTGAAAACAAAACAAGTCTTTAAAACCAATTAATTCCATGATTAAGACTGTCTAGACACTCGATCGTCCTTCCTACTGTCACTAATTAAAAGAAAACAATAAGCAAAACATTAAGGGAATTCCATCCGCTACAAATACAATCTAGATCCTAGACAAGACGAATAGTATCATACAAAAATGAATCAATAGCTAATTAGAATAAGTAAATTAAAATATTGACAGTTATTACTAACATAATTCAGGGGTATAAAAGTACAGTATTAAAATTAATTCAGAAACATGTATCGAATAGGCACCTAATGATGATATCTAGCTGTGTTGTAATACAATAAGCAGGCCAAAAAATAGAGGAGAATGTAATAATCCTCAATAGTACATCTAGTCGATAGCATAGTATGCTTTCTTCCTTGTTCAATCAAGAACGTTCAATAAATGGTAGTTATGAGACCAGGATATAATTTAATCCCGTTGATCCAAGTCAATAACGGGATAGTTTCGCTTTATATATAAAAATATAACTGTGCATCATATCCTTAGTCTATAATTTTATCTTAAATTATCGCGATATAACGTTTAAATTAATTTACGTCCACTTTGTAAATCAGTACTGGCCTTTATCATGATTAGCTTAATTGGACCAATATAATTTTTAACTTATAATCGATATTATTTTTTTAGATACAGTATTTTATTAATTCTTGTTAAAATGTTAAGGATCTTTGTGGCGATCGTTTTGTGCTGTATATGGAAGCAATATATGTGATCATATATCTTTCAGCTTTAATCATATCTTATTTATTAAGATTGAAGGTTCGATCTGAGTCTTGTTAAATATTTAAGGACCTTCATATTTATAGCTTATAATCATATAATATGGTATCCTGAAGCAATCTGTCCCTTTAGTTGACAACTGTATCTTAGTAATCATGGTATACCGCTTTTTCTTAATTTGAATTCTTATTGTTAATTAATACGGATCTTCTATGATCACAGTTTGTTGCCACATATATGTGTACCTTTCATTGATAATACTACCTGCTTTGCATCCTTTTTCTTGCAATAATGCAAACTCTCATCATGACTGTAGTTTATGATCATTTATTATAGTACTCAGTTTTGAAACAATTTATATCCATTAGTTAATAATCTTATCGTATATATTACTGTACAATATTCCTTCTAATTTATATCCTTCTTACTAAATTAATATCGATCTTTGTAATTAGTGATTATGGTTTATATTCATATTCTAGCTATCTTAGCATAGATTTCAAGCTAATTTAGATCTTTCTAATTAAAATAATGCAATGCTTTATCATGAGTGTAGCTTAAAATCGTATAGTATAATCAATTGGAGCATAATTCAAACGTACCGGTACCTTTTATATTCATATTCTATTTATCATGCTAGAAAGCTCAATCTAATATACATTCTTTTTGCTAAATGAATACGGACTTACATCATAATTACTACTTGCTGATAATCATATAGCAATATGCATATTTATACGGTATACTTAAGCTGGCCATTTCCTATTCATTACAGCTTGAAAGCTAGTGTGTGTAAGCTGCTTTCTGTTGATTAAAGCAGATATATACTAGAACTACAACATAATTACAAATCATACTACATTTTGGAGCTAGGCTTGTCTGATCTATCAATCTATGAGTATTTATGTCAGTTAAACACTTCTCAACAAATAAAACAAACCTTCATGGTGACCTCATTTACAACAATGCGATTAACCATAATTTACATGTTATAGAATATACTTGATATAATTTAGTTTCTTCTTGTTGAATAAAGTTGACTTAATAATAAATAGAATTTATGCTCATAGCAGTATAGCTGTGATGATCATCTACTCATAATAAATAAATGGACTTTATCATCATTTTACTCAGTTCAAGTTAGTCGCTGTAAAGGCCATCCAATAGATTCTCAATGATGATATGAGTATGTATAATATAGAATCACCATAAAGGATAGAATTAAATCGTAGTCAATCAGGATATTCCTAATTTATTGAAACAAGTTTGATAGCTGTTTATCGAAACTAGTAACGTCGTCACACACCGATTAAGCCGACATTTTTCTGAAACTATTATCAACGCTTGGAAGGAAAAGTTTAGTTTTGTATTGGACTTACGCCCATAATGCTAAAATCTAACACATCTATCACTTTTATTAATCAGCCCAATTCCTATTTATGTCAGCTGTAGAACTTCAAATTTCACCTTAGCTGATTTCACATTTACTTGTATACAAACTTTGTACGAAAATGATATAAATAATCTATAAGTTTATATTTCATATCATAGATGCACTTCCAACTAATTTGACTATCCAAAAGAAGGCCTGTCTACGATGGATTAACTCAATTCTTATCACCGTAAGTGAATCTGTAAACTTTTAACCTCATCACTGCTAATAATTTTCATTTTAAAGAATTTCTGGTAGGTTTAGATATCTTACTCATCATTGATTCACTAACAATATATTGCGTAACTAAAAATGGATCGGTTCCAAAATAATGTAATGAATTTGACTTTCGATAGATACCAAATCAGAAACCTATTAATGATTTCAATACTGAATTAAAAAGTGGAAATAAACTGATTGCTATCCTTCAGAAATTAAGCGGACAAACTTTGGTAAGTTTGACAAAACTTCTTACAGCTATACGTATGAGAAATAGTCATCAAGATTGATCATGCTGCATGTAAACAGCTAATTTGGGCCACTCTAGCCAATGTACAAATAATAAAATGAATAAGACCAAAGTCTAGTACACAAATGATGACCGCATAGTAGCAATAACTATGAAATTGGAATTTATCTAACTTCATTTTAAGTTTGGTTTAGATTCCCTTTTAATTCTTTCAGTATAAAGTAAAATTACAGCATAGCCGATATTACCTCAAATTAGTCTGGTCTTAATTTATAGTTTATCAGTTTTAATGCATATACAAGATTTATTAAAAATTGCGATACATTCAATACTGCCTCATTTATATCGACATTAGTGTATTCCTATCAATAAATATTTTCGATCTCGAAAACCTGATTTTATTTTCCTTTTCCTTCTAATTCAAATATACTAAGAGTTTAAACAATACTATCTCAAACTGATTAGTCCTAATTGCATCCATTCTGATGATTAGAAAAGTATTCGAGGTCGAAAGCGATTCGAACGCATACAAAATGTCAATGAAATTTTAAAATTTTGCAAGAATAATCAGGTAAGATTGAATAATCTGTTTTGAGTACCATTACAGACATAGCTTGCATATATCAATATAGAGGGATTAAGACTATGCCATTGATTTATTCTAATGGTAGGATTAAATTGATTGTTACTTTTCTAGATTAATACTCGAAGTATTAATAGTGATGCAATAGTTAATGGCGAAGAACGTAAAATTCTGCAATTGGTATGGAATATTGCTGAGCATTATCAGGTAAAAATTTTACTTAAAGATGGATTGTCCAAATTCATTTCTAGTGCTGTTATGTATATGATCATTTCATTCATTCCATATTCTATTTTACTCGATTATCAAATAATCATGCTAAATCGTTCCAATATGTAGCTACTAAAGATAGAGGATAAAATTAAAGAAGTACCAGACGCATCATCCAGCGTTAAGGGTAAAATTCTTTCGTGGTTCCAGCAAATTGCCCAAGAGTAAGCCAATTTAAATGAAGCTTATACAACATCAGTGAAATCTTTTAGAACCGCCTTACGATTTTAAAGTTCTTTTATGATTTTTTAATGCTTATATCGCTATTTTATGGTTAAGTAAAATCTCTTTATGACCAAATATAATCAAAGTTCAAATTTAAACTTGCAATTAAAATCATTTATTTTATCGTAATTAATTATCTAGTCAGAATCGTACAATATTAACGTATTGAATCGCTATTTTCAGGTACGAAAATCTGGATATAACTAATTTCGGTCAATGCTGGACTGATGGACATGCATTTTCAGCTATTATACACTTTTATAGGTTGGTTTAAGACATCTATAGTAATGTCATATATTTATGCCAAGATTCTAAATCTTCATTATTAGTATATCCTATCAATAAACACTAGAAGATTGTCTGCTATTAACTCTAGAAAATTATTAAACTATCTAATAGCTACTAAAGTCCACATTTTTTTACTATTACGCCTAGACCGGATCTATTGGACGTTCAATTTGTCATGTCGCAAAAAATACAAGATCGTTTCGAGTTAATTTTTGATCTAGCAAAAGAAAATTTTGGGATTGCTAAGCTATTAGAGGCTAATGGTATAGGCAAGCTTGCTGATACTAATATTAATCTGCAGTTGTTTCTCTTAAAAATTTCCTATTAAAAGTAAACTAAACAATGAAATCGAAATATTACTACAAGATGTTACTCTCTCATATAATCAGTTCTGCATACTTAACTAGGAAGTCAATGTTTTCGGCCTAAAAGTAACTTAGTCCTTTTATCTTAATCTTCGTTTTAGAAGCTGATTCACAAAAAATTGATGGAAAGGCCATGATATTGTATATCTTGGTATTTTTATCCAAATTGCCATCGTATAAAGTGAGTATCTATTTGATCCTGGAAAATAATTTTCTCCTACCTCTTAGACGAATATCATAAATCCAAGCCTAGTCAAATTTGTCCTACTAAAATCATCAGTAATGTTGATATATTTTCAAAGGATGACCTAGTAGATTGCCTTAGCAAATTAGATATAATTTCTATATGATTGTATACCTAAATGGCAACTAACTACTTCTCCTAGATATAATATATCGTGCATTTCAATATCCCATTTAACAAAATTAGTTTAATAGATGGATTATCTATGATCATTTCGAATAGGAACGAAAAGAAGAACTGGAATTAAAAAAGAAGCGTGAGAGTATTCGAGGTTGGAGTTGTAAAATTATTAAAAGTGATTTTTTTCTGGTAAAATTAGAGCCTAAAGTTTAGAACGATTGAGTGGGATAATATTTTGATCGACTGGTACTTAATGGCATGTTAATCCTATAGATCCAGATAGCGATTCGTCTGATGATGGCAATCAAGGAGAATCAGATGATGATATCGTCGAGGACAAAATTAATGTTCAAGAATATGAACAGAAACTACGTCATGTCTTGAATTGGCTATCAAATGCTGAAAAAACGCTAAATGGGATTGAAATGGGCAACGAATTAAAGACTACTATAACTCAATTTCATTCCTTTGAGGTATACTTAGGCACTAGACGAATCTGTTGGATAAGATACTGTAGAAAAGTAGTTAGTGATAATGAATGGCTTACATCTATGCAATATCCAATTTACTTTAACCAGCGAGAATATCGCTAATAATGTAGATATATGAAATACCTTAAGTACCTCAAAACATTGATACATAGATCATCTGATAATGATCGACGGCCAAGTTTTTAATTGGATTCTGTAGATTCAAAAAGTATCTTTTCCTAGCCAAAGAAGATTTTTTACCATAAGTATTTCATTATATTTGTAACTTAAAAGGAATGCACAAAGATGCCTATAGGCAGTTCAATCTATGCTTTTGGGAGATGTTGATTGATAATAAAATGACAATCATTTTATGTATTTTTAGCTGTAGTAAAGATTTAGTATTGCAAAAGAAATATATAATTTAAAAATTTCTAACATCGCTTCTATGTATGCAAGAAATCGGCTAACAAGTGATTCTTGCTCTACAGAAATTCATGATCGACATAACCAGTCGCCAAGCCAATATTGGCTTTCTATTACAGCAGGGCCAAGAGCTACTTTCTACCGAATTAGCACCTACTCTTTCAGATAAATTTGTTAGCTACATTTCGCAAATGTCTAAACGTTGGGAAGATTTACGGAAGCAATCGCAAGATGTTCAGCTATTGTAATTAATCAGCCTCTATATCAATTAATATCTATTGATGCTACTAAAATTTCATTTTGAGAGTTTATCAATTTAATATATCGTTTCTAGATTACATAAAACACTTAACACCCAGCAAATGGAACAAATTAAACAGTTTACCAAAAAATTGCAAGAATTACGTTCTTCAGTTCAGGAAGACACCAATAAGAACAATGATCCGGCAACCAATAGCAAATTATTGGAAGAATTTGAAGTAAGATTGAGTTATAAATAGTAAAGTTACTTTAACTAGGGCATTAAGCAACTCGTAGCGGAATACCTGATGTCTCCATACATTTAATACATTGCAGCTTCTAATTGATTATTTAGCTTAAAGATAGACTCTGCATACTGTCTTTTGGATTGTAGTAGCAATTTTGATTGATCGTTTAGATTGATGGTAGATATTGCATGCTATCTCTGTAGATCTAATAGAAGTCAATTTTAATTAATCATTTAGCGTAAAGGTGCACAATTGCAAGGAGAATTCAAGACCTTTATCGATACGCTTGTCCTAGTTGAAGAAGAGTCTGATGACAGCGGAAATGATTTAGAAGAGCATATAAACTCGTTAGAAAACGATCTTCAGGGTTACTTTGCTTTTATTCAAGAACGTAAACGGGAATCACAATCATCCCTGGATTTAGATAACGAAGCTGGACTTGCTCAAGATATTGAATCCATTAAGCAATGGCTTGAAAATAGCCATCAAAAATTAATCCAACAAGATGATCAAGCTATCCTTGATGACGCTGATTCTTTCAAGGCTCGGGCTGAAGGCGTTTTGGTGAGCAATACTGTCTATATTTCCCTTAACATGCGTAGAATGATATAATTCTAACGTCTTAAGAATGTAGAATCTTTTGTAAATTTTTATTCATTATGTATCTCTGAAGTTATTCTAATCTTGATATAATTTCTGTACAGTTATTCCAGACGCAAATTCATAAATGCCGCCAGCGTATAACTACGCTGAAGAAAGACTATCAAGAATTAAAGGCATCTGACAATCTTGCAGCTAAACGTGTTAAACCAGGCTTAGATCAACTTGTTCGACAATTCGACAGTCTCAAGATTAAAGCTGCTCGACAAAAAGCTATGATTGATAAAAGCCGCAATAGAATTGAATCATTCGATACTGAATATGAAGCATTTAATTTATGGGTAACAGGATTATTACCTAAAATTGAAGAATTTTATGCGGATATTGAGCCGCAAGAAGTATTGCAAGATACCGACGATAAAGAAAAGCAATTGCAGGTAGTTAATCGAGCCTATTAAGTAGTTAGAATTTGCTGATATAATATACGGACAATATTATAGTTCTAATAGCTCTTAATAGCTTAAATTTCTAAAATAGATCTCTAGCGGCTGTAGCAATTCAGATAGAATAATTATTAGCGATAATTTATACCATAGTTTAATATTTTGTAATAATTGTACCTTTGCAATTTCTATGGCATAGTCGTGGACGTAGGAGTATTTTACTTAAATTTTAAATGGAATGAGTCCATATTTTGTTACAATAATTTATCAGCCTGATTTATACGTATTATTGCTTGTGACCTATAGCAATATAGAAAAATATTTCTCGTCAATATTCTATACCGTAATTTAGTATTTTGAAATAATTATGTAACACTAATTTAGATTAGCTAGTCATAGATGCAGGATCACTTATATACATATACTGTAAGACTTATTATTCATATAGCAATTTAGAAAAATATTGACTATCTATATCTAATATTTTGTCACAATTGTACCAAAATTTATACAGAATATTCTTAGACGCAAAAAAATTTTGTCCAGATATTAGAACATAAGTTTGTTCATAGCTACCAAATATTTCCATCAGTATAATTTATTTATGCTATTGCAAGTGCCCTATAACCAAGTAGATGGAATGGTTCTCCTTGATAAATTATACCTTAACCTAGAACTTGGCAATAATTATACCATTGTAATTTATATATAACAGCCGTGGGCATAGAACCAATTTTTACTCAAAATAGAACCATAGTTTTCTTTTTTTTGCTAACAATTTATCATATAATTCATTATAGGAATATTCTAACGATGTAAAAGCGAACGAATCTCGCCGTTCTTCGCTTGAACGCCTATTAGCACAGTTGAAAGAGAATTTTGGCGAAGGTTTCCTTGATCACTTCCAGCAACGTCTAGATGAAATGAATGATGACTGGAAGAAAATGGTAGAATTATTAGAACATATCAAAGCTAAGATTGTTGCCAGCTTAATTATTCAGGTAAAGTACAGTACTAGAGTATAGCAAAGTGGCTTGTTTTATAAAATCACAACAACTGGCCTGGTTGTTTATCCTTTACTTTCAATTTTACGACCTATTATAGTATAAGATTGGCATAAAATGCCCTTCCTATCTTATCGAAGGATTTAATCGTTAAGTTAGGAGATGTTTATTGTAGATATGCACTTTTAATTATAGGATTTCCCGGTATCAATTTTGCTTCTAGACAATCCCCTATATCTAACTTGATTTAGCTTATTAATGGCTGCTATTTTGTACTACTGATGCACTATACACTGATGCTAAGAATATTTTAGCAACTGGAGTTTTGCAGAAGTAATTTAACCTAATAATACTACCTTGTCCATAACCAATACAGTTTACATAATCTCCCTCCCTTTGCTTGTGCAACTAACTGAAAAGATTAAATATTAACTCTCCCCTAACACTTTCCATAAATTCCCCTGATGGTATCACATCTATTTTCATCTACCATGCGTTAATACGATGTTATTTACTGTGTTGATCAACGTAAGCTAAACAATTTGCAATGCTATCTACTCCTATCATTCTATAATTGTAAAGTTGAATCACGGGACTCAGTCTATTGACTATAAATAAATTGTAGTCCATTCAGAGATTCCATAATCATTCATTTACATTTAGATCTACTTTATTCTTCACGACGTGTTATGTAATGCATAAAAGTAGATGGTGGAAATATTGAATTTATTGCATTTATCACGTTGATGATATTGATCAATGCTTATATCTCTACAAGCCAATGTTAGCCTATTGGTATGAATAGGAGCTAATTTCAATTTACATACTAGCATGTCCATAAAAGTCAATGGTGATTGATGTTAGTATTAGCAACTTGTAGTCCTAGCCAATATTGATGATCAAGTTCAAGCAAAGCCTATTAGGTTATATAGGCGTATAAGTTTATCACTCATGCTTTAATGCCGGATAGAATGAAATTATGTATAGCAATCGGTACATGCTTTTATTAATTGGAATGGATTTCAATTACATTCAATTTGTATTCTAATCAATCCAATAGCAGCAAGTCGTTGATGTTAGTATTAGCGACTAGTTTACCGTATTGATCAACGTAAGCTAAACAATTTGCAATATCATCTAGTCCTATCATCCTATAATTGCAAAGTTGAATCACGGGACTCAGCCTATTGACTATAAATAAATCGTATAAATTGTAGTCTACTAAGAGATTCCATAATCATTCATTCATATTTAGTTCTGCTTTATTCTTGGCGACGTGTTGTATAATGCATAAAAGTAGACGGTAGAAATATGAACGTATTGCAGTTACCTAGGTGCCTATATTGCTATTGCGCTATGTATTCGTTGGCTAGATTACATTTATGATATTGATCGATACTTGCATCCCTACATGCCGATGTACGCCTATTGGTATGGATTGGAATTAATTTCAATTTACATACTAGCATCTCCATAATAGTCGATGGTGATTGATGTTAGCATATATGGATGATCAAGTTTAAGGCCTATAACGATACCTAAGTATATAAATCGATCACTCATGAAATTAGGTATAGCAATCGGTACATGCATTTATTAGTTGGAATCGATTTCAACTACATTTAATTTACATTCTAGCAAATCAGTAACAGCAAGTTGTTGATGTTAATATGAGCGACTTGTGGACTTTTGGATATACAATCAAGACCATTGTAGTATAAGTACTCCTAATCAATATGTACTCGCCAACAGCAGTGAAGATCAGTGGTACTGTCCAACACCATTATTGACTTGAACGTAAATGGCAGATTGTAATATTCTCCAAAGGGTAAATTGTAGCTAGAATAGGCTATCCCTTATTTAAAACTGGGAGGAGATTATTCAACTGCCGCACCCAATAGTACCTGTCGATATCTAAACTATTGCAGGATAAATACCTGTAGTAGAGGTGCACAGCGGTCAAGATAGCTGCCATGACATCATTATTGACTTTGCCATGTATTAAGGATGAACATTTACTGGTAGGGAATATCTTTTAGTCAACTAAAGAGGCAGCGATGATGACTTAGCTAGATGTTGACTAGCCATAGGATAAATGACGTAGAATGACTCATTTCAATTAAGATGATTGATATCTTGACGTCATGGCCGCCATGATGGATGGTAATTCGGTTATGGAGATTTCCAAATTTCAGTTTTACTGTGCTTTAATTAGATTGCAACTTACCAGTGAATTTCAATGATGGATCAGTGCTATAAGCTTAAGGATTAAAGGATTATAACTCAACGAGCGAGAATTAGACCTAGGTGATTTTGCGATGTTGTTATATTAACCATAGCTCTATCTCCGGCCCCCCCCCCCCGTTTTAAGACCATATTGGCATTGAAGAGAAAAATCATGCACGGACATCCTTCAACCCGGACCAAAATCAATCATGTTTGCTCAGGGACTCTGATAGACTCTTATTAATTAATTAAACTGAAACTGATTATACATATATATGTCATGAGTCCCTTGGTCTGATCGACATAACCTCTTCAGACATCCACAGTAATAGAGGAGCAATCATCATGTTAATAACATTATTTTACTTTACTTCTGCTGCTTCTATGTTTATATTCAGTACTTTCTTTGTCGATACTCTTGACGAATGAATGGTTCGAGCTCAATCCAGATCGTTTTGCTTCCTCGCAAGAATGGATGCATCAGCAATTCTGTTTACCTTAATCATGCCTACTGAACTACTAGCGTGCACTTATAGATATTAGCATTGATAACTACTGTAGTTATCTATCTTATTCTACTTTTATCATGGCCACATGAATTTTGTATTCCATTTGTCGGCAATACAGTACATCCGCTAGAACGAATGCCATCCTTTAATCATGCCTGCTGTCTATCTCATCACGATAATCTTGAGAAATGTGCTGTAGCACAGCACTAATCATGATTGTAGTTTATGATCTTACTTTATGCTTGCTACTACGGTACGCCCATTTAGTAGCATTTGTCGATGCTGTTGACAAATGCAAGAGCTGAGCAGATTCTAGATGGCTTTTCGCCTGTGTAGACCTGTCAGCATGCATCCACCAGCGACCCCTTTTTCAATATGGCTTAAGAAGCTGTAGAATACCACTCTTGACTAGATATTTTAATTGATTTCCATTGTGTAATGTGTATGGTAGTGTCACTAGGAATATTCACGAAGATTGTTGTTCATTATCATGACAGACGCCATAGTGAGCATTATTTGCAAAAATCAACATCGCATCCATTCTCGATAACCCCTCACACGCCATCATCGATTGCAAATGCATGCAATGATACTGCTGTAGACGAGGTAATCATTTACAAATTTAAGGACAGTAACGTTGGTGGTCCCTATGCAATAGAATTTACTGTATTATCATGATCGACGCCATGATGAGCATTATTTGCAAAAATTAACATCGCATACATTCTCGACAACCCCTCACACGCCATCATCGATTGCAAATGCATGCAGTGATACCGCTGTGGACGAGGCCATCATTGATGAATTTAAGGACAGTAATGTTGGTGCTCCCTATGCAATAGTATTTATTATCGTGATTGACGCCATGATGAGCATTATTTGCAAAAATCAACATCGCATACTTTCTCAACAACCTGCAGACGCCATCATCGATAGCAAATGCATGCAGTGATACCGCTGTGGACGAGGTCATCATTTATAAATTTAAGGACAGTAACGTTGGTGCTCCCTATGCAATAATATTTATTATCATGGCTGACACCATGATGAGCAATTAAAGCAAAAATAAATATCTTCAAAGGGACATTATCCCATGCCATTGCCGAATGATGGAGGTGCAGTCCAAGTCCAGCTGTGCAATCTTGTTGAGATTGAGCTTGGATATAAATGTGATTGGTGGCTAGTATAGTGTATCATACGTTGATTTATTGCTATACTGTAGAGTTATCAAAGTGATCGTTTACGTTTTGCCACTGGCAAGGCCATGACGATGGACGTTGAGGCGTTAAGAGGGTAGTGTTTTAGTCATGACTACAGTTGGCAGTCTAGTTCAATGCTCGATGGGGACAAAATTTCCTTGTGCCAATATCGAGTTAATTTGTCCACTTGTTGACGACCCACGCTGCAGTTATGGAGGGAAAGTCCATTGCAAACTTGCCTTAAAATCAATATTTGCCTGTAAAATTGGATATTCAAGCAAGCTGATTGAATTTGTGGCTCTTGTAGCATCCTATTAATCTTGTCAATTCATCTACTTTAGGATTCAGAAGGAAAAATGAACGCTGTACGCCAGTGGATGGAAATGACCCAAAGCAATGTCCTCCATCCAAATGCTGATGTTAGTAGTTTGGAGACAACACTAGCCAAATTAGCGGATATCGAGGTAAGGAGAGTCAGTAATATCCATCCAGTGGTAGTATTATTCTCGATAGGCATTGATGAGTGGCATTTATTGACTAGACAGTCGTGATTTCATGCTACTGTCTACCTACTAATATAGTAACACAACCACAACGCTATCAGTCTATAGTAAGAAGGCCGTTTGAAAATCAATCTTGCATCTAGCTTTTACAATCCAATCGTCGACGTTGGTAAGATTTCTCGATATCGTGATCAGGATCCATTTGGAAGAGTATTACTACAGTCTTGTAGTAATTTCATTCCATTCTAGTAGTAATGCTAAATAACAGGAAAGAGCTTGTCGATGCATTAATCACAAGTTACGCTACTTAGCCCATAGCCAGTAACATCCCATGCCATGGTGTTTCTATGGTGATTCTTCACCTGTGACTATCCTCATTTTCAACATCTTGACCAACAACCGTAACTATTTCACGCTAAACATGGAAAAAAACAACTCTATCGACACTTTCTAGGGATCAACCTACTCCAGTAATGCAGATTAATTGTACAGGAGCTTGATGTACTGTAGCAACATGATTACCAGATGGCGTCAGGAAGAGTCATGCTAATTGGATTCCCAAAATGTGTCCATCGAGTCTGTAAACACTTTCTTACGATTAGGATACTTCCGTAGATTATAGGATAATCATGAGCGGAGTTTAGTATAGGTAATGGATGAAATGGATAGATCGGTCTCGTCCAACGGGGGCTTACAATAGAGAGATATAGTATATCGTGGAGAATAGTTATGCCAAATTCACTCCTCCACAATGTAGAAAAATCCAACTTGATCAACCTCTTTCTTTAGATTAAGACCCTCTAGTAGACTGGAACATGATTGTATGGCAACTTTGCGAGAAAGAATGAATACATGAAATAAGTTTTTTCCATCATTAACATGGAATAACTATAGCGATTGCAGTTAAGACGATAAGAAAGAAACAAGCCTGTCAGCACTCTCTTTCGATGAAGACACTGTGGTAGAGTGGATAATAATAATAATATGAAAGTTTGTTATAGCTATTTATGAAATGAATCCCTCATATTTGGTCACGACAAATATGCATTTTGATGTAAAGCTCTTGAAGTAAAGTCAGACAGTCAAGGATGCACTTATGCAAACGTTCTTCATAATACTAATATGAGTAATAGAGCATTAAATAGACTTGCATATACACGCTAGCTTGAAGAATAATAGCTTATGTAAATTTTCACTTCCTTAAGTTAACAAATTCAATATGCTCTCCTATTTCTATGGCATCTGTTGACCAGTTAGACCAGCTTCGATGCAACTTGCCCAATATCAAGATTATATAATCACCTTCAACTAGACATTACTTAAGCCTATAGTCTATACAGTAACTAAAAAAATAGACGATTGTCAATGATCCTGGCGATCCCATCATTATAGGGGTACAAACTGTAAATATAACTTGGTCTATTTATCTAGTAGAATGGCAAAACGATATTTGTAGATCAATGAATAGAGCGGAGAGTTGGTTGATAAATTCTTATGCTACAATCAAGACTTTGGCCGAACTTAATACAACTATCGACCGAGATCGTGACAAGCTTTTCCAATGGCTATACGCGTATATAAAAAACTTCTTTCGACCCTCTCATTAATATAATGAACTTTTGAGTCTTCTTGTATTACTTACTGGATACTACCACCTACCAAAAATCAATTTTATTTACTTAAGAAAATATATTCAAGAATAACATTACCATAAATGTAACATTAAATACTTACAGAAACATCTTCATTTACGACGGTAGTGAAGAGTTAACATTAAAGTAACGAAATAAAGATTACTCCATGATGGTAATGAATCTAAAGTACTTATAACTGTCCATAGAAAATCAATGATCTGAGCTAAAATGTCATTCTTATGATGTATAGCGTTATAAGAATTTTCTACCAGTACTTACCTATGATTCATAAGCCATATTTCCGATAATACAGCCTATGTTGCCAATTGTCCATCCTATTTGTCAACTTCATTTTAATGATTCTAATAGGCAGGCAAATAAGCAACGTGAGTAATTTATGAACTATAAAAGTGCTACTGATTTTTTTTTGACCTGCCTAATGAAGTAGAGCAAGAAGAAAGGTTTCTTCTTGCTCCTTAACCATATTTTAAATCCACACTACACGTGTGTAACTTAGGCTCACAAGATTTCAACTTACAATAAGGTCATTTATTCTCATACTAAAAAAATTAATTCAACATTGATATAAAGAAATAATGACTCCTCTCGATGCACCCTACAAATACTTAGATATGCTGTACATCGGCAGCAGCATTCCAGTGCAATTTTCCATAGGAGATTGGGGGTACTGTAGTATTAAACGTATCAAGTCGATCTTATGATTTAGAAATTGAATAACTTTATCATTTCAATTCAGTTCAGACAGATGGTCGGCCAACTTGGTAGTCTTAATTAGAAATGCGTTGAGTGAAAGTTTTCCCTTGCAAATGTTGTAATCCTAAATCTACAGTTTATGGCTGCCCTGATTTTATTGGATCACTATGTTCAGCAGCAAAGTAATGATTTGAGTTAACATGTTGCTATTTCAAAGTAACATTATGCTACATTTGCTTTTGGCACTTTCGGAGTTCTCGAAGCTGCAGGTAGAAATGTTCGTGTAACACTACAAGGAAAGATCATCCTATTCCAGGACTTTTATTAAATCGTCAATTCACAAATTCTAACTAATTCTAGACCTCTCATCCATGATCTTCAGTCAAAATATATTATTTTCACTAATTCTATTATCGTTCGCTCTGTAAGATAGCTGAAAGTAAGCATATCTATTAATTATAATGTACACTGTGAATTTCTCTAAATAACAGTCATTTCTGATTGGATCACTTTAGAATATTATAACAACAGAATTGAAATCCCAGTTAGAAGTAATGCAAACCGTAGGACATTCATTAAAAGATCTTGGCAGTGTCAACCATTTAGATCATACTGATATCGTAAATCAACAAGTCAATCATGTACGCGATGAACTATTAAGGTTGAAAGAACAACTAGTGCAAATGGAGAGTTTCCATAGATTCCTTGATAAAGAAAACAGCTGGATAGTAAATCTAAAGGAATTTACTACCAGAGCAACAGATCACATTGGCGGTAGTTATCGTATTGTAGGTCAGCATGTTCAGGTATGCATAGTATAATCACTTTGATCGTTATTTATAGCTAATATCATCATTAGCGTTTATTACTACAGATTATTAGCTTTTAACATGTTTTTTACCACGACGAAATCGTTTAGCTGTTAAAGGAATTACTAGAAGGTCATCCTTGTCGATGCTTTGATGATGTTGAAAAACATGCGAAAGATCTTGTAAAATCCCTCGACAATGATCACTACCTTAGTACAGTAAATCACAAGTTGAATAGTCTTCGAAGCCATTGGCAATTTGTTTATACAGAGAGTCAGACCGCCACATCCAATCTATCAGAAGTCCTCAAGCAGACTCAACTGATTGAGACTGAGTTAAACAAAATTTTTAAATGGTGCGATCAAATGGAAACAACCTATAAAACACCCATTACTAGTTCCGTTGAAAGGATGGAAGAGGTAGGAAAATTAAAAATTTCAACATAACATTCTTACGCGATACCCTGTTTACAATACTTCTGCATTTATATGGTAAAATATATTCATTCCTTAGACAAACGCCGAATTTCTCAAGTATGAAGGATTGGTTACTACATCACAAGAAATGATTTTAAAAGTATTAAAGCGATCACCGCAACAGAAAAAAAATAACTGCTATTTATCCAATCAACTGGATCAGTTGAAACAACGCTGGCAAAAAATTACAGCAGGTCACCAGGATTATCACAAAGCTTCCGATTTTTTTCTAAAGATTTCCACCTTGGATTCATTTCTCAAATCGACAAAGAGTACACTGGATTCAATTAAGTTAACTAGCGCTGATACTGATTGTATTACATCTTATTTGGAACGTTGTCGTGTAAGTAAACGAACTTTATGCATTTTTCCTCAATGTAGCAAAACATATAATTGCTAGATAAGCGCCACTATCATTGATACTCTAATTTTTTTCATCATTATATACCACATCTATAGGTATTAAAATCAGGCCTAGCCGACATAGAAACCGATATTCAGCAAACACTTCTTATTGGAAGCCCTTCTAAAATTGCTGCTAAAGAAAAATTAAATGTTGCTGATGTTGAAGTACAGGTCAACAAATTAAAGAGCTATTGGCAATCATTAAATAGCAAAATTGACAACAAAATTAAATTTTTCGAGACCGCGTTCACGATAGCCGATTTATGCTCTAAAGAAAGTGATGAATTGCATAGTTGGCTTAGTGAAACTGATAAACAACTTAATGAAAGAAAAGATTATGCCCAAAGACTAGATCAATCCGAAGAAGATTTGGAATGGAGTAAGGTAATGCAACAACTTTGTCAGGATAGTAAGTTCATCTCTTAAAGAACTCCTAGTAGTACAGTGGAAATTGGTAATCATGCTAATGATGGAGTTTCGTAAAAATTTTAATAATGTAGGTCATCCAATTGAATTAAATATTATTTCAGTCTTTGTGATTGTCTCGCGATTTCTTTTTTAGGCAATACAACATCAAATCATTAAATGGCAAATTAGATTTAACGAGTTTGATCAGAAAAGTAGCGTATTAGCCAATATGGCTGAAGCAGAGAGTTTGGATTCCTTACGAACTCATATTCAAACCTTTAAGAAGCAGATTTCAGATATTAACGATAAATGCGTCGGAATGCGAGTTTACCTGCAGGAGTACGTTCAGTTTATGAAGGAATCAAAGAAGGAGCGTAAAAATCTTAGCGACGAAATAGAAAAGCTTCTTAGCCAACTTACTTATGATATTGCCGAAAATAAATTGCTTGTAAGTATATTAATCAGTAGAACTATGTTTTGATGCAATATTCTTGTAGCTTGTGAGCCTTTTTGAATGATACCTTCGATCTTCATAGAGGTTAATAAATTTTTACATACATGAACAGGATATTCTTGATGAGTATCAAAATCTTCAACGTGTTGTCGATGATCTTGGCGAGAAGACGTTACTATTTGTCCAAAGGAAAGGTGTTAATAAAGTCCTTGAAGAAGACATGGCTATAACTGATCTGTTGTGGCAATCACTAACAGATAAATTATTCCTTGTTGAGAAGAAGAAGCAATTAAGTTCAAATATCGATCAAATTGAAGATGATATCACCACCGTTAATGCTCTATTGTCTTTCAAGACATTAAACAGGCAGTACCTCCAAGATATATCCAAAGTTGATTATAACGTCAAGGTAATAGTATGTATCATGATTCAATAAGTTACTATCGTTGAATGGCATTATATGATTAACATACTGCAAGTAGTGCCCAATAATTGTATAATGAAATAATTCGAGTTGATTTGACCATTATTTTCTTTTCTGATTATAGAATACTAAGCAGTTGTTAGAAAGTGTGCCCACCAAATTTGCTGATCTGAAAGCTAGCATTGACGAGGCTGACAAAAAATCTCGGGATGATGCCGTCAAAGAGGAAATGGCTAGATTAAATATGTTGCAAGATAAATGGGATACGTTAGACGTACAAAATCGATTTGCAAAATTTGCTAAAATTATTGAACTCTATCGAAAAGTGCGCGGCGATCTTAGTTTCTTTACTGATTGGCTGAGCAAAGCTGAAGTAGCCATTAGCATTGCACGCACCGTGAATGATTCTACTCGTGCAAAGGTAGGCTATAAAGTGTTGAAAGTAGCCTACATGTTGATATACGGATAAATATTAAACTTGGAAGTATATTTGTTCGCTTACTGTATAGACTGTAATTAATAGAAGTATTAAAGTATACACCTATGCCATGAGTTTGTGCACGTTTATTCTTATGCATTCGTTATTTAGGAAATTGAAAAACAAATTCCAGAATACAAGATAAAATTTGCTACTTTGTGTCAAGAAATTGCTGAAATTTACGAAAGTGCTGCCGCTTCGATGTATAGCGGAGAAATTACATCAATAATTAAGCAATTTAAATCTGTTTTGCGCTACTTTCGTCCGGAAGAATTCGATGAAGCTGTTGAAACATCTATCAGTGACCTCCAAATGATTATGGAAGTATCCCTTGCAGGTAAGCCAGGGCAAAAATGATCGTTCATGTGTACCAGACATACAATAGTCAGGCATCTCTATTTCTTGCCACTTGTTAAGAAAATTAGAATCCCTCCATCGTGGTATAAATCCATAATATAGTATCCTACATACTATACTGTACTGCAGATATGGAATATCGTTCTCATTGACTAAAACATCACTTTTTGCTCTACTAATATATTGTGCAAGTTTACCCATGGATACCAAAACCATTTTTCTCGTTATCAACAACAGTCAGACATATATACAATTCTTCTTCAAGATATTAGAAATGAAGATCATCTTCTTAGTAACTTAAGTGCATAGCCTACTCTTTGTAAATACGTAGGAATATGGGAAAGTTCTCTTTTCTTGCTAAGCCAAAACATCTTTGTTGTTGCTACTGATTATAATTATGCACTGTTATTGGGTTGTTGTTAGAGAAGATTTCATGATTGTTCATTGTCATCACATTTATAAACTACTACTGCCTATCAAGCTATTACGCTACCCGATTGGATCACCTCTACTGCCATCACTATATTACTTTTGGGCCGTACATTTAGTTATTTATTTATCGATTTATTTATTTATCTATTTATTTATTTTTATTGATGTGTAAAGATGTACTACGACTGGATTGCATAGCATTTCTAAATCCAGCACTCCATCGGTTAAGTTTCTATGTTCATGACAGGACGATTGCTGTAAATTCATGGAATTATTTTTCTAAACCCGTACTACGCCAACACATTGTTTAAACTCGCTCATTTTACTACTTACATATGCTGGACAGTTGCATATCTCAGCTAGTGCATAGGACTGAAATAGCGATTTAACCCAATTTACCTAATGACAGTAAGGTGTGAAGATACGAATATCAACAGCAATGAATGATGGAAAGGTTTAAATTTGATCCTATTGAGCATTGCAGTCATGATCCTCTTTTCACTTCTGTAGTAATACGCTTATAATTTGATAGGGGAAAATCTACAAGGGCTATATTCAATCCTCTGTAGTATATCTCATCATCCAATTTATGCCTGGTGTAAAGAAGATGATTTTTGATTCACCTTCTTCATTTCGTAGTTTCCTCCTGTAATACACTTTATCCTCAACAACAAGGGTTTATAATCGATCTCTACTTAGAGTATACTTACTAACCATTACAGTGCAGTACACAAGCCATTTTGATTGGGGATTCTTCATCAGACATGTTACGTGATTATCTTTGTATAATTTTATCCTCCATCTATGTACGCTCTATATGATGATGATGATAGAATGTACTGCCATATTAAAATATAGACCAAAATATATCGATGATTAGCATTATCCACTACAATGCATCAAGGGTAAGAGAAGGAGAGTGATTACGTTTTAGACTGTTCCATCGCGCAATAAAAGCAAGTTAGCACACTATAGCTAGATTTCACCTTACCGTGGGAAGTACAAAGTGCTAAATTATGCACGAAAATTGCAGATGTGTTGATAAACATCTTGATTTTTTTTATTAATTGCGCGTTACGAATACTAATCGAGGATCTCATGGTAAGATCATCGAAGCATCGAGTCCCGATCGTGAATTCAAATCTGTTAGGTAGATTGGGTAGGTAAAAATTGAAGCTGAAAGTTCCGATTTTGAATATTAGAATTTAGATACGGCCAGATGACATTCAACGACGAGTATTTTCTAGCTTTAGTTATTAGCTACTGGTCTTATTAGGCCATAATTCTACAGTTGGTGCATTGAATCTGCAACGACGAAAGCTTATAATCCTAACAACAAGCTTAAAAAGTAGCCATGTTCGATTTTGTACTTAGGAATTAAATTAATTGATCATGACAAATTGAATAGAGACAGTCGGTTAAATACCTATGTGTGCATTCCGCCTCGAGGGGATTACATATTGAGACGATCAATGGTACTGACGATTGGAGAGTAGAAAGTAGCAAATCCAAGGGATAAGGCAATAAGTTAAAGGTATTATTGATGAATGGGGTAGTTGGCTTTACAGAGATAAAATAAATAGATGGATACGGATTCATTTTACGATAGAATACTCAGGGAGTACTTAGGCCTCGGGGCATTGCATTTGAACGGAATTCGATCCAGGCGTTTTTTAACTGCAGGTGTAAAATAGTGCAGAGATGTTACAACTCCATGCTTGTCCATTTCGTCGTCTAGAAGCAGATTCAATTTCTAAAATTAACGTGGTGGAATACTTTATGCAGTAGAATAACCGCCTTCAATCGTGACAGTCAATATTTCTTTTAAAGGTAAACTTGCTTATTCCCTTATTTATTACCTATGCTCCGATTGGCCGAGAAAAAATTTAATCTATTCCATTTGCTGTTTACTCTTTCATATCGTGATGAAGGGATCCCTGTTCTACTAATCAATCCAAATTATGTTTTTAGCGTAATGGCAGAGACTGCAAAAGAGTGCCCATACTTTAATTTCGTCCTTGTACGATGTAGTTGTAGAGTAACATATCGCGATTGACTGAGCATATTTTAGCCATTATGAAAGGTCTCCAAATGAAAGCCAAGATATATGGTACTGAACTACAATCAGATTTATTAATTCATTTATTAATTATTAGACTGTATGGAAGAATTATTAGTAGTCAATTTACAAGGCTAAACCACATTATCATATTAGCTGGATGTCATATCTTTTATTCTAGTCAATGCCATTCCCACAGCATGGATTCCACAGCTATGCTTGCATATAGATGATAATTGCATTGGGAAAGCATATGGTCTCGCTATGACCAACGCAAACACTATAATTAGTCCAGTATACTGTCATCGTATCTTAGTTGCTACTAATTCAACTTCCTGGAAGAGTAAATGCTTACATCTTTTCCATTTCATCAGGTAACTTTTCTCCAGCTCTTGATCACCCTATTGCTGTTTATCCAACTTGATGTTCCCTCTGTAACAGTACAATCATACTATCTAGTAAAAATTAATGTTCAGGATGATTACAATTATGTTATCATTGATATTTCCAATTGCCAATAATCATTCGTTACCAAGAATAAGATAAAAGAAGATAACAGTTGAAAAAATGTTGAAAATTTTATGTTCGAAGCCTTTTATCATGTATTTATGCATTATTCTACAAGTTCGTAGAAAGATAAGATTCATTCTTAATGTCTTGATAATAATAGCGATTACATTAATTAATTAATCAATCGCAGCATTACTATTGCGTTTACCCTCTTCAAGTATCGTTGTGCTATTGAGATTGACAGCATTGACGGATTATATATTATTCTTCATCGTCCTTTCCATCATGGCAAGACTTTTAACCTTTTTTGACTTATTTCGAAATCTCGGAATCATCGGTGACTATCCTATGCATATACTGTACTGTAAAATTAAGACCTAATAAAATATTTAATTCATAGCTTTTAAACTGGTAGTGTAGTCATTTCTAGGAATTAAATTAAGGTTAACGAGATATAAGATCGTTCTTGGACGAAAATTAAGAGTATATTATTGATGAGAAGTAACAAGTGCAAGTGCATAGTAATTGCACCTCTTATTTTTTCATCGTAGAAAATTAGTTGTATGGATTTTTAAAAAAGATTTTCATCATTATAGAGGACAGTCATTTATCATTATCTCCGAATGATTTGGAAAATAGTGTGTATAAAATTAACACATTGAAATACTCAATACTGTACGCGTAAGGATAGACTGGCACTCGAAGAATTAAAAAATGGCCTATTTCTGCCTACTGATTTATGTTTAATCATATCATTCTATTACACCATTAGACGAATAATATTTGATATATTTAAGATAGCCGCTTTACATTGCCAAGTCGTTGTGAATAGAAATGATTTAGTAAGAATTTCAAGTACCATCGACGTTGTTCCGACAGCTATTTTTTCTCTGATCATTTGCCTCAATTTATTAACCTGCTCTATGGCATTATAATATGGCAGTGGTGAAATGTTTAATTATACACGTATGAATAGGCTGTCATTTATTATAAGTCTATTTCCATGATGCTGACATACGTATTGCTATAGCAACAAGGAAAAAAGCTACCATTCTTACTGGAAGCTTGACAGTTAACTGAAGAATAATTTAATTTTGACATTTCTACGTACTCCTGAGCTATTCATTTCAATGTTGGATTACTTTTGAAGGCTGGCAAATTGCATCTTCCTGCTGTCTTGCAATATATATGATAGATACTGTACATAACACTCTAAAGTAGACATTGTAGACACTTTTCCTTTCATTATGACAATAGATCATCTCACTTAGATACTCGTGATGTTTCACTTAGGATGCATTTACGTGTATTAATCGGTCAGATCGATAAAGTAATGTATCCATATTTTAATCATAAAACATTATATGCAGTGAGTACCTCCATGACTTGCATCCTGAAACTGTAATCCAGTAATAATAACTGTGTAATGAAGAATAGGATATACTATAATGCTCATATTCATGAATATTAATAATGCTTTGCTTTTAAATAATCAGAATCGATTGTAGAGCAAGCTAGTGTTCGTCGATCGCTTCATGAAACAGAAGATAGCGTTATGATTAAAGACGAGACTCTAACGTTGGAGAAATTATCTCAAAAAATCAAAGAACTTACTGGTAGAATATCACAAGCTGAATCATTATGTGCAGAAGTTCTTCGTTTCCCTCGTTTTGTTGAGATTGTTAAACAAGATATCAAACTTCAGGTATTTAACAGTTACAATTAATTCCATTGAAGACCTTAAATCTTCAATAAAAAGTATCCATCTACCTTTGATTCCTTATTAACAGTTATATACTGGACATGCTTGCAATTAAAATCATTTTGTCAATGCTATTATGTATTGGTATATTTTAGAATGTAGGATCACTATTACAGGAGATTGGTACAGAATTACAAGAATTAGTTGAACCTAGTACCGAGGAATATCCATTGTGGGATATTCAAGATGTCGATGATGCTAAAGATGCTTATGAAGCAATGCTGCATAGTTACGAAATTATTAATGCTGAGTACGAAACACATCGTTATAGATTGAATAAAGATTTAAATATTTGGAATCAACTTCATGATGATGTTGAACACACAAATTTATGGCTTGGTTACGCTGAAAAAATGATTGAATCATTTACTGAAAATGATGAGGATAAAAATACCATTTTGGAGGTACGAACTACAATAAATCATGCTAACACTCCCACTTGTTAAGACTTTATTCATTAATGAAAATTACCTTATACGCTTAACCGATTGTATATTCTTGAATCCAATAGACACTAGAAGATGGCTTAAACACCAGATCTAGCGTTGTTGATAGAATCAACATCAGTGGTGGAGAAATTGCCAATAATTTAATACTGACGAAGGACAAATCACTAAAAGATGAACTCGTTAAAATGAATAGCCGATGGAATGATGTCAAAAATTTTCTAACCGATGAGAGCCTACCGTTAGTCTTGTATTTTATTCTATTTGTGCAATTTACAATCTTGTCTTAACCCTATCCATACAATTTATATTAGTTATCGTAACCATTGACATTATTATTTACGTTACAGACATGATACAAACTCTGATCTATCGGGAACGTTACAAAGTCAAATCGTTGAAATGATGATGTGGCTATCAGAAATTGATATCTGTATTCGTAATGAGGGAGCTTGGTCAAATAATTTAGTTGATTTAGAAGAGCTGCTACACAAGTATTGGGTGAGTTACGGAAGTTGTACTATTCTGATATGATATAATTGTTAATACGTTAAAATATTTTACCGAATGGCTTTGTTGTTATTTTATGTCATGATATCATTTGTACCTTATACCAGGATATCGAGTCTAATTTAGATCAACGTCAAGAGAAAATCAGAGTTATTAATGAAGGTGCTCAAGAAATTATTATGAACGAGGCAACATCGGATAATGAATTGCAAGTTCTAGAAGAACAACTAAATGCTTTAAATCCTTTATGGAAAAAAGTTAGCTCTGAAATTCCACGACAGCGTGGCCTACTAGAAGAAAAGGTGGAAAGTTGGCGCCGTTTCGTAATCGAATTAGATGATATTTACGACTGGGTTTTAGCAACAAAAGATTATCTCCTCGATATAGGCAGCAGTGAGACAAATAAATTGTCTAAAGAAGATGTTGAGGTTGATAATTTAAACTACTACCAATATCTTTCAACACCTCTATTACAATATTAACTTAAAACTATGTACAGTATATAAACTTCCATATAGTTATTGATTTTCTACATGCAAATAAAACTTGTTCTTCTTTGTGTAGCTATTATCAAAATCAATTGCTGAACGTCAAGATCGCATTGAATCAATAATTGAGAAAGGTAATGAATTAAAGGATGAAGATGGCGATTTTATAAATGAATTAAGTAATAAAATTAAAGACATACACAATGGCTGGCTTATAATCCTATCCTTATCGACGTCTGTAAAAGAACTTCATACGGTAATTTACTTGGATTCAAATTGTATTTCTGTATGTGTGTGAACGTACCTATTGCGAACTTTAATCACGTACAGATCGATCCTCTTAGACTCTAAACCCAATAAATTAATATCTAAAAGTTACGTTTTACAGTACATTAATAGCATAATCGAATATTACTATCTCGATTGAAATAGATTTCAGTAAATGAAAAATTAAGTTCATCAGCTAATCAACAACAGAAGTCGAAATGGCCTGAATTTGACAGGACAAGATTTATAATAAAGACTGACTTAGAAAATATAGTACGAAAAGTTGATTTACCATCTGTCGCTTTCTATGATATTGATGGCGCTGAAAATCAATTAAATGAAGTTCAGGTGACTTATAATTATAATCAATATTAAGTAATTATCGAGTCCCTCTTATCTTCATTCGTTTTATATTTTTACTTATATATAAATTTTATCATCCTTGCATCTTACTCAAATATCTGATTCCCAAATCAAATTAATGACTTTAGGACTATGAAAATAAGCTACGATCATATACGTTGAAAGTTCATAATGTTGTCTCTACTGGCGAAGAGTTGCAAAGAAAAGAAACTTATAAAGCGAATATTGATATCTTAAAGGAGGCGATAGAGCAACTAAATAATTTATGGACAAATACGAATAAAGCAGTTAAGGATAAAATAGAGTACCTGGATTCATTACTATCACAATGGAAGCCGTACCAAATCAATCGTGGGAAATGCTTGGAAATGCTGTTTGGGTTGGAAAAACGTATTGATGAGCATGAAGGGACAGATATACCTGATGATTTGGATGAAATCACTGCCATGCTGACTAGGCATTACGTATGTTGAACAAAAATAATTTCTATGCTAGTAGGATCAGTTTTGTCAACTTATGATCTTAACTACGAACTTACGACAATGGCATTAATATTTTTCTGGTAATTTTTACGTATTAGGAATTTTCCCATGAAATTAAATCGGAAGAAAGCCAAGTTACTGATATTATTGAAGAAGGAAATAATCTTGTGAAAGAAAATCAAACGGAAGACACGATCTTGCTCGAGCATAGCGTAGGAGCAATTGAAGAGAAATGGATTTTGATTAAGGACAGGTTAGTATACTGCTATCACTAATGATAAAATTGTCATTTCAAATTTGTTGGAAGGAAACATTCATAAATTTTGGGCTGCGTTTATTTAATCGTAGATTAAAAGCACGAGAAATGAGACTATTGGATGCTATAGATTGCTTTAGCAATTTTAATTCCCATTTGGAAAATGCCCTAATTTGGTTAGTTGGGATCGATAATACGCTGAATAAATTTCATTCTTCCGTAAAAACAAGTAGCCGCGATCCAATTATGATCAAATATCAAGAAGAAAACTACCAAGTAAATATCAGAACTAATTGCTAGTTTATTATACAGAATTTGTTAAATCTTTTATTTACTGATCTTAAAAATAAAAAGTATTCAAGATTATGTAATTAAATTTTTATCGTAGAACCTTCGTAAAGAAATACAGGATCACGAATCAATTATGTCGCAAATAATTAAGGCAGGAAATCGGGTTAATCCTGATCTAAATGAGGATGAGGAAAAGGTTTTGAAAGATAAAATTGTCAAATTACAAGATGATTGGGCACGATTACAGGAGGATATTATCGACATTGGTGTGATTATAGAAGAACATTGCAGACAATGGAATGAGCTACAAAGTAATTTACGCAAGTTAAACGAATGGTTATTACAAGTTAATGATGAATTAGCTGCGGAAGAACCTCTGAAAGGAGATCTGCATGCTTTGCAACAACAAAATGAGAATTTACTGGTTTGTGTAACTTTATTATATTTTCTCTTTTTCTTCTCTATTGTAACCACTCATACGTTTTTATTGCCTGCAAATGTAGGATATTAGGTCTCGACTGGCAACACATCAGCCTCTTGTCGAAGAAACGCTTGAAAGTGGTAGTTTATATGCAAAGAGTCAGGATGATAGAACTCAAGAAGATCAGTATGGTGATATTGATCAACAACCTATGGTTGAATTGAAGGGATTACTAGCATTACTAGGTGATAGATGGAATAGTGTTTCGAAACGTGCGGACGATTGGCAGACTTTATTGGATAAAACTATCCTTGTACGTAAAGATGGTCTTATATTTTTGTGATGTATTGTAATACGATCTATATAAGCGTGCAATGTTGGTTGCCGTATATTAGTAAGTAAATATTACCTAAATACGTTTTGATATTGGCTTCAATTTGTATCTGAAATTAGGAATTTAATGAGCTAACGTCATTGATGAGAGAAGCTGTTTCACAACTTCTTTCGTGTGAGAAAAAAAGATTATCATGGGTCAGCCCTCGTGATATCAATTCTGAAAATCTAAGTTCTCAACTTCAAGATCTCAAGGTTAGTTGATATCTGCATAACCAACTTGCAGATATAAAATATTCGAAATCTTATTGGTTATCCTGCGTCACTGTAATCGTGTATTTGCTTAAGTTTAATCTTCACCTCTACTTAAATGATAACAGTCATTCAGGGAATCAATTCAAAAAAATCGTCCTAATATCGAAAATATCAAACGGTTATATTTCTCGATTGGCAAAAAAGGAATTACCTTGAACAGAGTTATTATTGATCAGTATTCTGATATCAATCGTCGCTGGGCCGATTTAACCCGAAGTGAGCAAATACGGATTGATGAACTCAAAGAATTCCGAGATACAACGACTGAAGTATCTCATCATCAATCGGAAGTTACCTCCAGTGGTTAGTTCATAACACGAGATATGATTGAATATTATCTGTTATACTTTAATGCTGGTAGCTACTAGGATCAAAGATCAAATATATATACGAAACATTTGCATGCTTATAGATTTATTAGAGCCACCATGGGAAAAATCATTAACCGTTAATAATGTACCGTACTATGTTAAGTAAGTATGAAAATTATATTACTCGTAACATGGATTATACTAAATTTTAAGTAAAAATAAATTACTACTGACCTTAACTTATGTTTACTGTAATTTTTTAGTCATGAAAAGAAAGTCACACAATGGGACCACCCGCAAATGACTGAAATTTATGATTTACTTGGTAAAGTCTTCTATCAGTGTAAAATAATTATACTTGAAATCTTACTAATGAAAGTTGCTAACTCTGTATTTTATTCAGTCAACAACAATTTCATTAAGTATGCCGCTTATCGTACCGCTATGAAACTAAGGAAATTACAAAAATGCTTATTTTGTAAGCACCAAATAAATTTGAATATGTCTTTTGTTTATATTTATATTAATAATCGGTATCGAAGGCCTTGTATTTCGGCCTATAGTATTTCTTGTGCAAGATATATATGAAGAGTCGGGCATTTTAATATTTTACGCCCCTTTTCTTTTCAGTAAATTTCATCGAGCTAAATTCTTTAAAGACTGCCTTCCAAGATTCTGGCCTCCGATTTAAGAATGATGCCTACATTGACATTAACGATATTTATAAGTTGTTGAATATCGTCTATGAAAGAATTAATAATAAGAAATTTAGCAGGAAAAAAATACCGCTATACAAAGATTTAGTCGTCAATTGGTTATTAAATGTCTACGACGTGTAAGTTTGACGTTTCTATACTAATGGTCTTGATTTTTTATTACAATGAATGATTGCCTACGGTAATATTCAAATTTCTTACGGATACAGGCCCAGAACTGGTAAAATACGTATCTTGTCGCTTAGAATTGGCCTCGTAATATTATGTAATGCGCCGCTTGAAGAAAAATACAGATGTACGTATACTATTAGCTGCTAATTATTACGACGACTATTACTGAGTTATGAAACTTTGTCTGATTTATTAAATTTTGCAATATGTTATAAGCAACTGTCGTGATAAATCGTATACTTTTGATCGGTTTTTTACTAGATATGTTCAATCTTATTGCCCGTCATGATGGCTGCACCGATAAAGCGAGATTAGGCCTATTTCTTCACGATTGTCTTCAGGTACTTGAGTTAGCTGTTTTAAAAGGGTACTAACCGAATAGTGCATTGATGTCCGGCACTTTATCTCGTATAATTCTTTGATTCATTGCTTTACCGAATCTACAGTTTAACGTTTCCAAATCAAAGTCTAAATTATAAATTTCCGTCATTTTGAACATCGTTCTGCCTTTTAGTAACTCGTTTATAAATTAATTTCAGATTCCACGACAGCTGGGCGAAGTTGCTGCATTTGGAGGAAGTAATATCGAACCTAGTATTCGTAGCTGTTTGGAAACGGTAACGTATCCCTTTATTTTTTAATGGAAAAGGAGCGCGATTGATATGAATATTTTTACTATTAAAGAATGGTATTAAAAATTTATGCTGTTATCCCAATTCTATTAACATACAGGGTAATTCAGAGGAATTTGTTGGCTCTGTTCAATTCCTCGATTGGATGTTGGCTGAACCACAGTCTATGGTTTGGCTTCCAGTCATGCATAGAATATCAGCAGCAGAAAATGGTGACACAAGTTCCTTTTATACCTTAATATGCTAAAATATATTTTATTATAATAAGCCAAGTTTAACCTTGAGAATCGTGAATGTAATCCTGAATTCTTAATTGTATTAAATCTACAGTCTCTCATCAGACAAGATGTAGTGTTTGCAAGACTGCTGCATTTAAAGGATTAAGGTACTGTGCTAGTGATATATTGCGATAAAAATGAATAATAACCAATGTGATATTAGTATCGGCGTGTAATGATATTAACTATACTCCATCCCTCTAGATATCGTTGCTTGGAATGTTTTAATTTCGATATGTGTCAGGCATGCTTTTTCAAAGGAGAGACCTGTAAAGGACATAAATCATCTCATCAAATGCAAGAGTATTGCTTGGAGGTATTTATAACGATTTTAGTTGATTTGCTAATCGTGCCACAATTCCCTAATTCATTCCTGTAAACCTTTTAAATAGTCTTCAACAGGCGATGATGCTAAGGATTTCTTCAAATTCGTTCGTAATAAATTGAAAACTAAGAGTATGCGACGTCGTAGTCGTAAACTTGGTTATCTACCTTTACAATCTGTTGTTGAAGGGGATAGTGTTGAATCGTGAGTATAATTAGCGTTATTAATCCCAATATAAATCATCTAATATCTGTTTAGTAATAAGTATTATATCATTTAGTCAAACAATCTTACATTCATATTTTAGGCCTAGTCAATTATCTGCCCTAGGAAAGAAAAGTACGCACAAGCGACAAGAGATTATCAGGTAAAGTTTAGATTTAGTCGATATTTGTAGAAAATTTTTCATGTAATGACTTTCGAAATCTTACGTCAGACCTATGCACAGTAGAACTCCAAGCTCTGACAGTAGATCCTTGAATGCCTCTAACACGGAAAATGAACAACAACCGTTAGTAATTTTTATTATTCTTGAAATAGCATCTCAATAATGGTATTCTATCTTCAGTAAATACGCATAAATTAAGTTAAAAATTGTCCTACACGAATTTATGTCAATATAGGGATGAAGAACATCAATTAATTGCTCAGTATTGCCAAAGGTAAATTGAATAAAATAAAAGTTGATATAGCATGGATTCAAGAATAATATCTAACCTTTATTTCATCTGGCTCGTTCTACACAGCTTGAATAATCCTTCCATGCAGGTAATAATGTTTTACTTGCCCTTGCATAAGTTAAATTGAAGAACTAATCTAACTTAGCTAGTGCAATGAACGTATTATTAATTATTTGTTATTATTGGCAAATTATGTTAAATACTGTGTATACTAACCCTCCATTAATATTGTAGACACAAAGTCCAATGCAAATTCTTACCAACATCGATGGTGATCAAACTGAAGATTTAGATGATACAATTGTTCAATTAGAGAAACAATCGCGGTAAGTGAAAAAAATTAAAATCTATGGAAAATTAATAAGTACCAACTAATTCCATCGTGTTTACTATATAATTTTAATTTCTTTTCGATTAGCAATCTGCAATCGAAATATGACAGCAGTGTAGCTAATTCAGCTAATAGCTCCATTAGGCGACGCTCAAGTAAAAATCGATCAAGTATTGAAACTGATCGCCCTCTTCTTGCCATGGCTGAAGATGAAGAGGAATTATCAGCGGAAGCAGTTCGACTCAAAGAGGATAAGAATCGTTTAGAAAAGAAAATGGCTAAATTAGAGATCTATAATAAGCAACTGGAAGGCCAGTTAAAGTTATTAAAAAACAGTATTAATGAAACCGTAAGTTTCGATTGTCGGAAACTTTTAAATTCTGCCAATGAATCAATTTTACCTATAGTGTAAATTTTTACTGCATTCTAAAATCAAATACGAGTTGCAACTAGAAATGAATGCTTGCGTAAATTATTCTATTTCGATAACAATCAAAAATGTGATTAACTTTATTTGTGTCTACCTTCATTAGCGGAATAAAGAAGAAACTGATATCGACGAATATCTCTTAACTAGTAGTAGCCCCTTGGCAACAATCAAAAAAGTTGAAAAAAGTCCAAGGAATGGTAGTGTCAATCGAAACAGCATGAACAAAAATGTTGATATATCATTGCATGTAACTGCTTCCACACCAACTACAAAAAAGTAAAAGCTTTAACCTGATACTATAGCATAGTATAAGTAAGTATTGTTCATTTTGAATTATATAACTTCTTTGCTACATTAAATTTACTACTGAAACTTAATTCATATTGCAATGGTTATTTTCTCTCTAGCTGATGATATTAGCCAAAAGTGTTTACTACAGAAGGCTCATGTTCTAATTGGAAATGAGCTTCCTTATGCCTACCTTGGATATGGTTGTTTGTTCTTAGCCGTATTTAGCCAAGATTATACAGCCAGCAATCTTTATAAACCGTTATAATGTTATATGATACAGTAATTATTCATTTGTTTAACTATTTTATTTTATCAAGACTATTTTTCAACGTATGAACATATAGGCAGGTAGCTATCCTAATAGGTTAAATTCCTATCTTAAATATAATGAAGGACCGGTATAGCTCTTCTACATTAAACCTTGATTTTATGTTTGAAGTTTATAATCATTTTGGCAGATTATATACCACATTACTACTTCTTTATCCATCACTTACAATCTATGTTATAAAATTTCTATGCGAGGCACTGTCTTCTTTTTTATAAACAATTTCCTGCTCTATCTAACCGTTTGTTATAGTCTATGATGATAATTTGATGCTTTAGTGTAAACATTTTTATTGGAAACAACATTTTAACTATGGAAATTGATAACTGTAACAGAGGATACTTAAGTAGCTAAATAGTAGAGATTTGGAAATTGCTCGCATTAGAAGGATTTCAAAGGATAATAAAGACATCAAAGTTATTTCATTGGCTCTGAATTTTTAATCTCATAAGATTCTGAGCTTAGGCGTAATAACAGGCAACTTGAAATTTTGCTAATTGCTCCTATACTGACAACGATTGCAGATCGTTCGTTAACTTCGACGTTATTAGGATTACTTTACTTTAATTATTAATGTGCAAATGCTAAATGCTGCAGTACAGCTTTAATAACTGTAGATTACCATCTGTGATTTAGGTTAAATCACGAAGTACTTTCAATATTTCACCTATATGACTGACTGTCTAAAGAGAAAGATAGAGACTTGAGATTTTCAAATCTCTACGGTCATAACAAATCTTACTAAGTATTACCATATGATCTGATAACAGTTTATAAATTGGTGCATATTTAACTTTCTTTACCATTATGACAGTCTGAACTTAATAATAGACAACGTGATGGCTTTCTCAATAAATCTTTGCAACCATCGCGACTGCTAATGATAGCCACTCGATATTTAGAAATAATTTTGTGAAAGACTAGTCCATAGACGTAAAAATGTAATGCCATAGCTGTCTGTACTTAAGATCCCTAATAGTAGATGATTTGATGTTTCATCAACAGATAACGTAGAAGTCGCGACTAAAAGTATGATCATGTAATTTAAGAGTATCTAAGAAATTTTAATGATGATTACTGTAATTGCCTCAATTTCTTATTAAAAAGAGCTCAATATTCTACTCATAGTCCCTGTCATAATAATGACTCGAGATTTCCCTATCATGAAGTGTAGCCCTAGGGGATGAATTAGTTTAAAATTCTTATTTTCTAATTGGACTATTTGCCTGAGCTTAGACCTAGTGAAAAGTAACTTTGTAATTTATCATGAACTCTTGACGCAACGACGACTGTAAGTATTTATCAAGGGATGGCATGATTAAATCAATATTAATTCTGACACAAGGTAAAGGGAGGAGAAATTTGATGGTAATTAGTAATACTGTCATATCAACTTCAAGTTTAAACTACCTTCTACAATAGATTAATTATTATACAAGTATCACGATGATATTACAGTCACAATTTATTCAATTTAATTCTAAGGTAAGCAAAAAAATCATTTATGCATAAAATTAATTAATTAAACTGTGTAAATACCAATCAAAATGACTTTTGCCCGCATTTTATATATAATCTATGCTTAACTCATCACCTGAATACAACCCTCAATAGAGTAGCAGAGAGAGAGAGAATAGGATCCAAGGTAAGTATTTATAATAATAATATAATCGCTTGAGAGAAAATCAATATTGATTTGATAGAATTATAGGTAAAATAATATGCGTGTAAACTCTTGTCATTATTATCCTAACGATCGAATAATGTTATTAATTACTGTATACAGTAACAAAATAGCAAGATCATTTATCATTATTGAGAAATCCATTAGAAGAAAATATGGTAATCGGCGTAAGTCAACTTGTTAAATTCTTAGAACATCCGGAATAATTATGATAGATCGACAAGTTATTATGATAATTTGGTAATTTTCAGAAGCAAAGCAAACTATAAATTGGGCCTGTAAGAAAGACTGATCAACTATTAACCACATAAGACTACCGCGATTCTATTCCGTCCGCAATCCCTGTCAAGAAGACGACAAGAGATACGATGAGTACTGGGTAAAATAGCTATAGTTAAGGAACGATATTGAGCTCTCTAATGATCAGGGCAAATACTATTATTACTAGTATACGTTTTTAATCGGCCCTAAATGGTAATCAACTTCCGATCGATCTTTAAAAATTAAACTAGTAGCTGTATTAAATCATTTACGATAACAGTAGCAGTAATGTCAATTTTAGCTTTAATGTATGATTTGTCTTATTTTTTTATAGAAACAAGCGATATAAGGTAATTGTTTTCAACTATTATGGCGTTTTAGTCACACCATTACATTATGGAGTGATGAAACACGAATGGGACTGTGGCTTACCAAAGTAAGTAAGCACTAATTCACAATTGCCATCATATTCTGTATTGCACATATTCGTTTAAGGCCATCAAGGTAAGCTTGTATGGTTTAAGCAAGTAATGAGATTGGGAATTGATTCGTTAAATCGAAAATTATTCTATCCACAACGAATTCATTCTAGTTTTAGACATGTCTAATTCGTAATCATTAAATAACATCTAGTACACAATCATTAATGAAAGCCATCGATTTAAATTTATACTTGTATGGAATAGACCCAATTTATTTAGTATAATGACCTAGATGTAATAGAGTAGGCATGCAGGCAGATATAAAAATTCTTAATTCCATCTCTAGACATATCTAGTTCCTATCAGTAATAAAATCATCGATTTAATTTACGCTCGGATGGAATGCAATATATCAATCTACAGAAGTTATTTCATATAATAACCAGCCGTAGATATAACGAACAGAGTTACTGGTTGATATAAAATATAGATAATCCTATGACAGAAATGGAGCATAATGCATAATTTTCTACTCTTTGACTACAGAAGTAAGTGTTTCATCATGAATAAAAATTATCCTTCGTTGTTGTAACTATTTTCGCAGAATTTAATATGACAAGTTTCTAATTTTTAATCGATTTAATCTTTGATAAGATGTATAACTGGTTAATGCTTTTGGTCGCAGGATAGTTACTAATAATCCTAATTCAAAACCAGCTAATTTATCTATACTTATTAAATCGTTGGAATAATAGAGAATTCCTATTTGATATCCTGAGGCAAAATAACAAGGATGGTAGCCCAGTTCATCAGTTGCTTAATGGTAAAATTACGATGAGTCAGGTATATTAATTTATGCTTAAAACAAGATTAGCTCTTCCAATACCAACTTATCACATTTTTTGAATTCGGGAAAAATTCAATATAGTACTGTAAGGATTTAAATCAACTTGCCCTCAATGAAGCAGAGCAATCGAATACGATGCTACCGGAAAATTTTAGTATTGAACGAATAGTTGCTGAATGTATTGATGACTTGAAAATGAATAAAGAAATTGTTTCTGTTATGGCCAAATTAAAGCGATCAGGTCAATGTTCTTATTCCCTATCGGCATACCTTGTCTACATATCCTACTTACTAAAAATTAGAATTACGCCGCAATTTATACGGTACTAAATAGATTTTTTTATTTTAAATTGTTGTTGCTTAGGATATAAAATTACCATCATTTGCAATTCCTGGATTGATGATTGCAATATTGTTAATTCATCCATCAGCTCCAAAATCAAATTATACTTGAAAGGCCTAGCCAATTATTATTTTGAATCAACTCAAATAGGAATATCTGGACCTTCTAAGGAGATTTACCAATATGTTATGCAACAAATGGATGTCCAATTGCATGAGGTAAAGATAAAGCACTTAAGCATGGATTAATCTCTCTTTTTCCGTACTGTCATAGATAATTATTTGCAATTCTACATCAGTAGCTGTAGCTTGTTAGAAATCTACTACTTGTTAAGATAGCTAGTTATTGCCGAGCATGTTTACTTCAGAACAAAATAGTAATAATTTCATAAGAATGCATTTCTAGCATCAGGATAAACTTCGAATGGCTTGTTATGCATGCATCAAATCATGTTCATAGTTTACTATGGGGGTAAAAATGATGTACTTATGTATAATTTTATCATTCTATATCGTCATGGACAATGACAAATCATTATTTGTGCAATTCTATTTCATTGGCTGCAGTGATTTAGAAATCCACTTCTAGCTAAGATAATTATTTAATATCGAGAAAGTTTAGTTTAGGAATCACCGTAATCATTTTTATACAGATGAGCTCCTAGTATTTGCTGAAGCTTAACATGGATAGTAATGGATGGCTTGAATCATATTCACATTAAACTATTAAATAATTATTTGAATAACATCAATGTCTTTTAAACTTGACTGCCTTTAGATAATAACTATAGAACAATCAGAATTATCGGCTGAGATAGCAAGAAATCTTGGTATAGCCTATATCGTAGCAAATGAAAACAAAGAGCTTTTAATTCAATTAGGAAATCTTATTGAAATTAATGTTAGTTAATTGAAAAAAGTCCTATTGCAATTAGGCAATAGATTAAAAATATGATTACAAATTTATCGAGCTATTTCAATGGCCAACATTAATATTGCGTGGAACTTAGTTAAATAAAATTGAAAGATCAGATATATCAGTTTACTAATATCGAGCAGTGCTGCATCGATGAATAGGCATAGGATACTTACCGTCTAGGAAATCATAAATACTTCTAAATGTGGCCTAATAAGTTCATATTATCTCGGATGCTTTCATATAGCTATTACTACCATCCAAGCCATGGTCATGCAATGAAAATGAAGTAGTGCATGGCCAAATCACGACCAAGGTCACTCTTTTCATAAATTTTATAAATTTAAATTCAAAAATAACTCAATATCAGACAATGTAGACCTATGTAATATATTTATCCAGACCAAACATCATGAGCTTGATGCCTTATTTGATTTATAGAAAGGTATCAAAATCCATTTTGTCGAGAAAGGAAGTGGCCAAGTCATTTTATTCCTTCATGGTTTTCCTGATTTCTGGTATGGATGGCGATATCAGGTTAGTATGGATCAATTTTGCAGCTACATTAATTGCAATAGCTAATTCTATCGGCATGATGAAATAACTGAATGATAAGTAATCTTCCTATCTGTCTGATTATTACGATGTAATATTCCTGCTGCTATCTATAATAAAAGTCGACAGTGATCTCATTTCCGCTAACCTGCCCTTACTTCTGTAATAGCCAACTAGATATAAAAAAATTGTTCCATAATGAAACTCCGATAATTATATAATCATTAGTAAGATGGCGGCGCTAGACCTGAGTGGACTAGCGGTGTCAAGGATTACATTTAGGTGTTGGAATAATAGTTGAGTGCTGTTAGTGGATAATTTTAGAGACGAAAGTTATAGCCTTAAGTGAAATGCAAGCCGCCTCGACATAGGAGGGAGTTCTGTAGTCTGAGATCTGTTAATACATACATATATATATCGAAATAAATCAATAAGAAAACATGTAATTCAATATATATACATAATATAGTATTTATAAATCAATTCCGATTCCCTTTAGATCCCGTATTTTACCGCGATTGGCTTTCGTGCAATTGCTATAGATCATCGAGGAGTCGGGCTATCGAGCTGCCCCCCAAGTAAGCTGGATCTTTCATAAATCAGATTACATTACGGCTATACTCTGTTGAAATGCCTTTAAAATTATCGAAATTGTATTTTATTAACCCGTAGATGTTGAAGATTATTCTATGGACTTAGTTACTGAGGTAGTGAATTGAATTTCAAATCATTTATTATGTAGTTCTATGGGCATATTACATCACGATATGACTAGTATTGAAATTCCAAAGTAAGACTAATTTTAAATATACCATTCAATCATGTTGATTCAAATGGATAATTCACATACAACGTTATTCCAATAAAATAAGGATATAATTGAACTTATGGATATATTGGTAAGTAACGCACTATATAACATCACGATATAGCTAAGTAATGATCACAAGTAGTTTTCTAACGCAACCTTGAATCAGGATATCGATCAAGCCATTCTTGTTGGTCACGATATCGGAGGTGATGTTGCCTGGAATTGCTGTTTACAATATCCTGATAGAGTTAGGTAATAGGAAAACTTTGGAATTTTTGAACGGCAATAATTGAATTGCTTGCAAGTAGATTGGTAATAATACATAAAATTAAAATTATTTTTATTCTTACTATTAACAATTTTAATAATCATGTCATTAGAGCTGTAGCAAGTTTAAATTTTCCATATATACCACCTCATCCGAATATGAATTTATTGACCTACATCAAGCAAAATCCTTCTCCTCTGCAATATTATATTTATTTTTCAGAAAGTGTAAGTCGCAATTTAATGCCATTGTTCCTATCCTGTCGTTTACAATCTCAATTTTTGCTTCGATTTCAACTTAATCCATAAATCCAAACGTCAAACTATTCATTGACTTTTTCCACTATGCAATTCTCATCTATTTCTTATATGCGTATCTTAACTGAACAGATTCATTTTTGCAATTTCGTAATTCGCATTTATTTCTTATATGCATATAAGTAAACTAAATTGATTCGCTTTTTTCATCTCACAATTTTATTCCTTTCTCATACGCACATCTTAATTCAACTTATCCATGAATCTAATATCAGCCTATTTATTCGCTTTTTCCATCACTCAATTGGCACTTATTTCTTATACGCTAATCCTAATTAAACCGATTCTTTTTTCCACCATATAGTTCTCATTTATTTCTTGAAACGTATCTTAATTGAACTGATAGCGAAATATTTTATTTAACACGGTAGGGAAAATTTGAAAAATGCCTAGCCAAAGATATTCGCGTCTCGTTCCAAAATATCTATACTAGTACTGATGAAAACGTAAGCATGAAATAATGACTTTGATAATATTCCATCACTTCTCACATAAAATCGAATGTAAAATGTCTCTCTTTACCGTATTTAGTATAACATACTGTATGTAGTAAAGATTTAATAGTATTAAATGCGGTCTGCTTCAAACAATTTTCTGTCTAGTCCATTGATATTGGTTGCCAATGTTAGCGAACGATTTACTCGTATGATAATAACTCGACTGTCGTTAGATAATATCAATAAGAGCTCGCTATGGAGGCTTTTAAGGATAATCATGGAATAAATGAATCAACTGTGATAAACTTCATGCATATTTTTCTACGGCTAAGATGAAGGATTTCTCTTTAAATCTATAGGACGAAAAGGCATTAGACGGCCGTGAATTTAACTTATTAGATATGGGTAAGATATTTTGCGGCATATTCTCAGTCGTACGACGACAATTTATTCTCCATCAACAGCTGAAATCTGGTTATTCGTCATAATCCTGACTTCAAATCTTGACAAATATGACATTTACCATGCCTATTAAATAAGTTACAAATAAAAAATTCGATATTATCCTTCTCAGACTGTTCATCCTATAAGTTGAAACTAATCGAGGGCTATCAACGAAGTTGTTTTATGACAAAGGAAGAACTAGATTATTATGTTAAAGCATTTCAAGTAACGGGTTTTACGTATGTATTTGTCATTAATCTAGTATATCATGATCAATATTGAAGATATTTTAGAGCTTAATGTACAATAATGACAAATAATTGGCGATTTAATGCCGTACTTTTTATCCCTATTGGTTCAATAATAGCAATGAACAAGTTATATTCTTTCTATAAAATAGCCCTAGCTTGAACAGATTTAGAAATGCCCAAAAATGCTGGAAGTGGCAATTGAAAACATATGGTAAAAAGGTAATTGCAATGATAAAATTATAAAATAAATCCCTGGATAACCAAAGTTGTCAAAACTAATGAATGTTGTTTACTATTAATTCGTATGCTAGATTTATCAACCAGCTTTATTTATTGCTTCGGATAAAGAAACCTTCCTTACAGATTCAATCTGCAAACGTATGCATGATTCTGTTCCTAATTTAACATGTTTAAGATTTGATTGCAGTCACTGGCTTCACTCTGAACGGTAAATAGCTTTTGTTCATGCTATGGATAGTTTCTATAAATTCTACAGTTGTGTAGAGCCAAATCATAATACCTGGAACTGTCCTATTTTCCTTTTATTGATAGACCACAGGAAATCAATGAAGCCCTTGACAAATGGCTACAGAAAATTGATGCTTACGATCATCGGTCTTCTATATTTGTTTAGCTTAATGACTCAGCGTATTATGCTAGACTGAATCTGGCGGCCTTGATCACAAATTTCAAAGCTGATAACTTATGTAAACAACTACTTTTCGTTACTTGAGGGCATTGCACAACATCATTTATCGAATGAACAAGCTAAATGAAATGTACGAATATTCTTCCTGTTTCCGTACCTTCGAAATATTAATGATCCGCTTGATTTCTACAATTTTGATCGGATAAAATTGATTTTGTAAGTGGATGCAAATACTATAACTGCAATTACTGCTAAGGCGGAATTGATCTGATTCGATGGGAACTACCATGTACAACTTTGCAACATAGGACAAGATAAACCCCTGTTAATACTCTTCAGGTGGTAAACCACCAATTTAATAGATGTCTACTTTTTGAAAATCAGATAGGAATAAAGACTAGACCAATACATAGTAATTCAGCCTGATCGGATAATTCCAGTACATTCAAAGCTGCTATTGATTATTTTCGCAGGAATTCCATGCTAGTACTTTTATCAGATGGTTACACTTTCGAATCTTTATTTTTCTACTCATAGGTCGAGCTAACATAGACATATATTAGATTTAATGTAAAATATATAAAATATCGGCTACTAGCAGCTCAAGTTTTTGTTATCGGAGAATTATATGCTCCAAAAAAATTGATTTATAACAAATGTCAATATTTTACTATTTACAGACGTCTAAAAATCCAACTGTCCAAGAAAGGGCAGAAATGCCAATTAAAATTTTTACATCAATATAAACTTTAAATAATATTGTAACGCAATTGAATAAATCATTACATATTCTGTACAATTATTATCAAGAATGCCTCATCTACGGAAGCTAGAAACCACGGTGTCATCAGATGACTAAATATCAAAGTTTGAGAAGTAAACTATTTGAGTAATTCTAATTCTCATAATCCGATATCAATTTGTCAAGTTTGTCTACCATAGAATAGCGATACTTAGTATCGTTTAACATCAATCAACGATATATGAGTAGACTTACGATCGTACATATATATATTTTATAACCACAGCGTTCCGAAATATCTAAGTAAATGCCTACATTACCAAATGTAGCGTCTATCCGAGTAAAATCTAGTCGAAATGAAAGCAGAATCTAAAAAAAGTGCTAGTGATATCTTACTTACAAATTTACATTAAATTTAATATTCTTAATCTCTGGAAATAATTTAAAAAATTTGTAACATATAATTGCAATAATGCCCAATTCCACTTCTGTCTGCCATGGACAGCACAAATCAGCGAGAAAAAGGCTCCCTAATAATATTTATAGCCTTTGCACTGAAAAGCACTACTGTAATATTAATGGCAAATGATGATCAATACATAATCGTGCACCGAAAAAAATATTTATCAATGCAGTCTATACAACGATATATACAAAACACGGTAAAATGATATCAACCGCACCCAAACTCCACCTCACCCAATATTAAGCTGCGCACAAGCTGGAGCAGTGGCTAGCTATTTAAGGTCTGAATCACGCACGACTTGGGATACCCGAACTCGTACCACACGGAAATACCCATATTATTCAGATAAAAGTCCCGTGAAAGCTGATGCGGTCTCAAGTGAAGGAACCTTTTTATCATAGATGTTTTTTCCGTTCGCATTACCGTCAGTCAAAAAACTACGACAGACCAGCTTTAAAAACTTTGCCATGCAAATTTAAATTCGAATACTGTCTCGACGATATAGAGGTTGGAAGTTTGCCGCATATGATAGGGAAAATAGGCAAATAGCTACTATCTAGTGAGCTGATTACTTTTTCGATGGCTTTACTACGGTAGTAATGATTCATCGCTTGTTTATACATAGAGCGTAGAGCATCAGGTAAGATTTGGACATCTCTATCATCTTTGGCTACATAGATTTGCCCGGTACTAGTCTTAATTTTGCAACAATCTCCAGGTTTTATAATAAATGTAATGCCTAAAAAGGTTTAAGAACAGGTTATACGAATCCAGCTTACAAGTAAGTTACAACTTTTTATCACACAGACGTAAATTTTTATATTCGGTAGTGATCTGACTCCTACTTAGCAGTTTCTGACGAAAATACTTTGACAACAATACTCTGTAAAGAAATGAACGGACCATACTAATTGAACTCAATAGTAGCATAGTCAGAGAAATTTCCTTAAATTTCTATAGGAAGATTTCAGGTCGAATAATGTATTCATTTATTACTGCATTAATAGGAGCAGCAAGCTGCATCTATATCATACAGTGACATTATCCGAGGCATCTCACTTCCCGAACAATTGTTTGAAATTTTGCAATCTTCAGTAAAGCTACGTAATGTTCAACGTACCGTGATAAAACGTAACGCCACATACAGAATTTTCCATTAGTTCGCATTTAGCATCAGTAGCATACAACATTATCTAGACGCATGCAAGAGCATAAATTGACTACGAGTCCTACTTTTGTATCATGTAACAGACATTAAGTAATATTCAAAGAACATATACCTTGACAGTTTTTGCCTTAACTTCGCTAACAAAATCGGTTGCCATCCGGTAATATCTAAAATATGGTCTCGGCAAAGAGGTTAAATTGTAACAACGTTGTTCATAAACGGAGCATAGTGATGAAAAGTTAACTGATGGATTATCAGTAAATGATACGCCACAGGCGTTTCTCTTTGCAGAGTAAACAGTAATATCGGTGCCATTCTGCGAAATTTCAAAAAGTCCTTGAACAGAGTATGCTCCACTGCCGACTCTACTTAACCATTCCAGGCGAACACGCCCGTCGTTTAAAATGCTATACTGTAGTAAACATAAATTACTATATATTATTCTAAAATGTAAAGCTATACAACTGATATTGATCAATGATATATAATTTTTGGAAATGATACCGTAGGATATAGTACAACATACCACGATATCGTCCTTTCTAATCCTAACTGATTTTAAACGCCACGTATTTAGTGGTTTAATGGAATTTACTTTTCTTCCTTTATCCCTTTCATTTCCCTTATTCTCATAGGTATGTCTAAGCTTTTGAACTGAATTCTTCTTGTTGATTGGCAACTTACCATGTGAGTGATATGAATTAGCATCAGATACGTACGAGGTTTTTAACTGTTGCTTCTTGCGTACATGCTGATTTGTAACAACAGCTGTATCGCTACGAAAGCTGTAACCGTTCCGCGTGTATTGTTGGTCATTATTAGGACTTGAACTTAACGAAGGATGGATTACCGGATGATAGGGTACAGTATCTTTTCTGTATAGAAAGAAAATATCCATGCTAGTAAAACTTAAGTTCATAAAAATCGACAATAGATAAATTTTATCGACTCCTTACGTAATCACGGGTGTTTTAATACTGCGATCACTGTGTTCCGATAAAGCCGATTTAAATAAACGATGTGACGAATTTCCACTAATAGAACGTTGTTCATTTCCCGTAGACATTGTCCGTAAAGTATCATTGCCACTATCTGCAGATGCATCTAAATGCTGCCGAATAGCAGATTACGTATCAGAATAATTTGCTTGAAATTTGATTAACATAGGAAGATAATTACTTGCGGGTTAACTTGCAAACTTACGTTATAGCCATCATTTATGCTTTTGCTACTTTTATTAGGATTCATAAATGGATGCTCCAGGATGTCTATATATGCGGGTATATGTACGATTTGAAAAGACTTGTTTATAATCAGCATATCTACCATATAAAGATTTATGAAATACTAATTACATGTAGCTAGTCAAACAGACCTTGTAAAGGAATCCTTTTCAGTGGATCCTGCAATGCATAAAGCATAAAGTTAAATTTTAGATAAAAACAAACATAAATTTGATCTTGGTCATTAGGAAACAATAGTTGTTTGGATGCTACGCACCTGTTGTAAGAGTCGATTTATTAAATCCTCAGATTCTGCACAGAGATGGCTGATTATCACATAATACAGATTAGATCCAGGCATGTATTAAAAAGAAAATCTACAATTACATCATAATCACTCTTGAACATGATACATATTAACGACAGAGTTTACAGTTATTCTTACGGAGGTATAGTATAACTTCCAGAAACAACTTTATTTAGAGTGGTTCGTATAGCTTTAGTATCAAATGGTGGTTTGCCAACTAAGAAGGTATACAAGATACAGCCAAGAGACCAAACATCAGACTCTAGTCCGTGGGGTGATCGGTTAGCTATTTCACTATTATTTAAACAAAAATTGCATATATTAAAAACACCACTTTACTTTGAAACCAGTTAACCAATTTACTAATTTTAAACAAGATACCGCATGACATCTTTATATTTATATTGTAATCAACATCGATAAACTATATTGAATTTAGGGCTAATCTATTTTACATACGGTGATATATAGTTTGGCGTGCCACACATTGTGAGATGAGTCTCTCCTCGGACAGCTAGTTTCGTTGCGAGGCCAAAGTCGGAAATTTTCTATAAATGAATAATTATAAGCATAAAGACCTAGTTTTGGTGTTGATACACCGCTGTGCTATCCTTCTGTTAACAATAAGTAGACCACTACTAGATATAACAAATCTACAATTGAAGTTACGGATAAGTACTGATACGAACCACATCCAAGTCATTTGTTAGTAATAGATTTGATAAACTAAGATCCCGATGGACTATGTCATGCGAATGTAGGTAAAGGAGACCTTTTACAATTTGGGCTAAAAATCGACGTGCTAACAAAAATAATAAACAACAAAAATAGTTGTCAACTCATTTTCTTATTTATTAGATGATTACAACCAATTTCTTCTTGAGAAGTATGCAGTAACAGGTTCTCAGTGGGATCAGTTTTATAGCATTATTAACCTTGATCTTCGGCTATCTTTCCCTTAGCTTTCAAATGGTGCTGGAATTCTCCTTTTTCACATAGTTCCATTATCAAGTACACATAATTGCTATCCTCGAAGTAGTTGTATAACTGCAAATAAACGGTAGCATTAGTTATGTTAAACAGCCATTCTTAATCCAAGTTTTTTTTTAATTGTTTTTCAAGGTAATGTATTTACCGATACGTACAATCAGTGCATCATTTCAGTTTGATGAGTTACTTAGATTTAGTTACAACAGAAAATGTCGATTACGCATTAAGATGATTATCCTACTAACCTCTACTATGGATGGATGCTTTAATTGACAGTGTATTTCTACTTCCTTAACAACTCTTGCAATCATGTCCGCGTCGATAGCCTTTTGCTTATCAATCATTTTCACAGCAACTAATTGACCAGTTACTTTCGATTTACCTTTATAGACGCATCCAAAGCCACCTTTGCCGAGCAATTCTAGAACCTGATAATCCTGTAAACAGAGAATTGATCATTGTCAATGATCACATCCTTACTATTTTATAAAAAACTTGAATAGCACGCCTCTTTTTTCAATTGCAGTAACAATGATTCATTTAGGCATATCATCAATTTTCTCAAATAGCGGCAATTATTATAGACTACCGATAAAGTATTACGAAAACTATTTCATCACAACATCTGGGCTATGCAATCATGACTTGGCCAGAATCTAGAGTGTCAGATGTAAAAGAAGCAAAAAACTTCTACTAGGACTAGTACTAACTGAGGCACCCAATTTCGATGATAACGTGATCGTAGGTATAATTCCATGAAACTACAAGTTTTGCTGTTGTGATGTACTTGCATTAATGGCAAAGAATGAGCACGTACAGTACTATAAGTCCATCATTGAGATTGAATTTTGTCCAAGCCGCTACTTCTCTAATTCTATTCTAAGTACGACATTCAAATAAAATCCCAAATTCATTCATAGACAGGATTAGAAATCGTGACGATGGGAAAACTTTATCGCTTTAGTAAGGGTATTTTATAAATATAGACTAAACAATGTCGCCTAGACTATCCAGGCCTTAAGACAGGATGCAAAATGATATCAATAGCATTCGGTCATGGTAATCAACATCCTCCCTACGCGTATAGTGATATACTTCATAGCAAAGGTGATAATTAACGGGAATATTGAAGATTATTCATTAGTTTTATTGACGTATGATCTAATATTTTTAGTCCTCTTGAGCTCTGTAATTTATCTCTCATGCAAGCATTAGTATTTATAAAAATAAATCATGAGTAAGGTAGTTAGTTTAACTACAGCTCGTACTTTAGCTTTTGCAATTGATACCATTTACTGAGGAACGAGTGAACGATGACAATAACGATTATTAATTATAATTTGCAAACTATGAACTCTTGCTAGTCCTCTTGAGCTCTGTAATTTATTCTCTCGCACGAAGATTATAATGATCCAGTATCTCAGTAACTTATTCTCTAACAGGAGGATTAGCTCGAGCATATCGCTTGAATAGGAAAGTACTTTACTGAGCAGGTAGGGCAGTTAGTCTAACTACAGTTTTTTTTCCCAGTTATTGTAATTGGTAGCAGTTATTATATTAACACTGTTCCGCTAGAAGATATCTGTTATTGATTCTCTTTAGCAAGCATTAGTGTCGATAAAAAGTTTAAGCAGGTAATTGGTCAGACTTTAAGGTGACAAGGACAGTATCAACATTTTGGTGACTGTAAATTGGGCTTGTATAACAGTGCAAGGTTATAACTTTAATCCATCAATAACTGACTGTTGTGGCAAAGACTTTTATCGACATAGAAATAAAATAGTAAAGGAATCTAGTGTATATTTTGGTGAAGAAGCTGTCGTCAATGAATTAGTGCCCAGTGTCATAGCTAGCTTTGGTTGCAATCAAGAAATTCGAAGGCAAAAAGCTTGGGCAAAGTCATCCATATCACTGATGTTGATGGATGATTTCGCAATTGCGATTTGTATCAAGTTTGATCTTACCTCAATTGAATTGCCCATACCAATCATTGCATTAGTCATGATGAAGTTTGAAGATCAAGGGCAAGTTGGCATGGATAATAATAATAATAACAAATAAATAAGCAAAGTCTACTCCAATAGCGTCGTAATAGCGTAGCAAGAGGACCCTGTTGCTCGTTTCAATTGGTATGATGATCGTGTAATCGAATAAACGATTTAAGCACAAACTGTTGGTTAATAACGCCAGTAAGAATCTTGATAATGATCGTTTTACTATGAATGATATAATAAGAATAAACCACAAGGCTCAATGAACCCAATTCCCTGTAGTAAGGCTCTCATACAAGGAAGAAATGGACGACAGAGCTAGAGGAAAAATTAACCTACGCTTGTCTTGCTATCGTCATCAACGTTAGCAGTGTTGGCCACTGCATGGTCGCTTGCCAAGCCTCAAACTGTCAAAGAATACAATTTTTCACTCAATTTCAACAGCCAATAACAAGTTAATCCTATCAACCATAAAATAATCAATCTTTCCTAGCCTAATGGCTCGAATAACATGGTCGTAGCAATCGATGATGAAAATGCAAAGGAGCCAAAAGAGAAGGAATCACGGAGAGAAATGGCTAGCCGCAAGGAAAACGCGCGCTTTTGCCTTTTGTGTTACATTGGTAACCGTCGTAGGTCACGTGGTACGATGGAAGACAAAGCCTAGGTGATCAGCTGACCATACGGCCAGCTGGAGTTGAAAACGATTTGGACTGATGTACGGAAGGACGGGAGATGCCTACATGGCCAAGAGGACGGAGGCTAGCTCTTTTTTAATGGGTCATTTTTATTGTACCGGATGACTGAAATGATACACTGTACTACCAACAGCCAAGATGGCAAGGCAAGCCAGGCGTGGACGCTAGAAAATGTTGATCGTCTTTTTCCAGTAGTCCATGCTTTTGGGATGAGTGTAGGCCATTTGACTACTTTAGAAGGTGACTGGAAGGGAAAGCATGGACTGCTAAATCCAGAATTGATTGCTTTTAGTAGTTTATGGCTAATTAAAGAGAGAGAGAGAGAGAGAGACGGGAAACGATCGTTCCTTGTTAAAAATGTGCAAGCCGGCTACTTTGCTGGTCATTTTGCTGTACCGTATCATTGAAATCATACATTATACTGTACTGTAGTACACTCGATGCAACCAGCTGCTTGTGCTTTCCCGGTCTGGAGGTGATCGCTTACGAAACTTTATAGTGTACGCCTACAGACGTGGAGTACAACTAAAATGATCAAGCGAATCGTCGACTTGCCATTCCATGACAGACCTGTTCGAAAGAAAATTGAAAAATTGAACACCTTGTACGTGCTATTTTACTTCCTTTTAAGCCATAAATGGTCTGCAGCTTGGCGTAATATGAGCTGCACTATGATGTGAGCATTCTATGCAGCATCCGATACGTGCTCGAATGGTAGCAGTATGCAGCCAAAAATGAAAGCTTTATATTCTGCAGATTAAAGATCTGCTTTTCACTGAGTCTTCAGTCGAAGGCTAGCTGTACCCAAGAATATTTACAGTATTTGAATGTCGATCTGGCCCTTCTGTAGTTTTACGTAATATGAGCTGCACTATGATGTGTGCATTCTATGCAGTATCAGATAGCAGTATGCAACCAAAAATGAAAGCTTTATATTCTGTAGATTAAATATCAGGTCTTCTCTGGGTCTTCAGTCGAAGGCTAGCTGTACCCAAGAATATTTACAGTATTTGAATGTCGATCTGACCCCTCTGTAGTTTTACGTAATATGAGCTGCACTATGATGTGTGCATTCTATGCAGTATCAGATAGCAGTATGCAACCAAAAATGAAAGCTTTATATTCTGTAGATTAAATATCAGGTCTTCTCTGGGTCTTCAGTCGAAGGCTAGCTGTACCCAAGAATATTTACAGTATTTGAATGTCGATCTGGCCCCTCTGTAGTTTTACGTAATATGAGCTGCACTATGATGTGTGCATTCTATGCAGCATCAGATAGGTGCTCGAACGATAGCAGTATGCAACCCAAAATAAAAGCTTTACTGTATATTCTGTAGTTTAAATATCAGCTCTTCACTGAGTCTTCAGTCGAAGGCTAGCTATACCCAAGAATATTTACACCATTTGAATGTCGATCTGGCCCTAGGCTTGTAAGAAGACCTGATGGAAGAGCTCAGTACAATATAGAATGTGCTGTGGTTATCAAAAACGATAACTTTAACTTGATTTGCTAATGCATTAAAATCAAAATACAAGTGCAGTACAGTACAGTATATTGTATCAATGTACAGTATACATCCCTTCTAAGCTCGAAGGGTTAGGGATTGCAAACAACGACTCTAGCGACAACTATATGTGCAGTACGGATATCCATTATTACAGTCTAGGGGATGGGAAGCTATCCTTATTTTACGCAGCGCTATACACTATGATGCACAATATCGTGCAGTAGAAATAAAAACTTAAACTAAACTGACAGCTATTAATATACCTTGTACAGTGCTACAGATTTACTTTGAGGCCTAAAGTCGCAACCTGCAGTTAAAGTTATTGCACCACTGACTATGCGCCTGGACCAATGGAGATCACGACATCCAATGAATACGAGATGGATACTATATACTGTACAATGTACACACTGTCTTCTCTTTTACTAACGTAAACTAAACACATTTCAACGTCTATCAGCTTATACTGTAATAAGGTAAACAGACATTTGAACGCTGTGGGTGGATTGCCACTAGATACAGTACTTTCGGATAGGCTATGCTAAGGGTGACAGGTCATTTTGCACACAACCCTCAACGCCAATATCTTTATAGTGTATCATAGGCAGCATACTCGTACAGCTATGCGCAATAGCAACAAAATGCTCCAATCGGATGTCATCTAACAAATGAGCACCCAAGCAACGCTCGCCAGTCCAACACATTGCCCAATCATGCACAATTTGAAATGCAAACATGGTAATCATCGAATTTCTACGTGATATTGCTCTAAATAATATCTTAAATAGTCGTTTACTAATCCAACAATGTCAGGAAGAAAAATAGAATCACTATTACTATAATGGCGCCATCATCGGCTTTCATTTCAAGTTATTGTGGATTCTTGCTGCACTTTACATTCAATCAAAACGACAATAAGAACGTGCAAATTACGTTGCAATGTTTTCAATTATATCATGGCGTCCAGTGGAATTGCTATGGCCAAAGTTATTCTTTAAGTTGGGAAAATAGCTCTTGCCATAGCCAAATAATAAATACGGCGAACAATGTCCTCGATTACTTAACGCACACTCAAAAATGTTACTTAGCATTATTGCAGCAAAACGATCATGCTTCAGCAACATGCTACCTAATACAGGTTGAGCTGGTGGATCAACCTCGTCTTGTACCGATTCGTCGTTGGTTTATTCCTCAATTTCTGTGGGATAAAAATATCCAAATCGCGATCTTGAATGGACCTTCCATTTATCTTATTGATTCATCCACAATAACTATCCTTAAGCATGATCTTAATCATGAAAATGGCTCACACCAGATTCATCAATTGAATAATCCTTTTCTTGGCCAACGTCAACTTTCTACTCCAGTTGTTGACCATGCCAGTCATACTGACCTCCAATTGCCTCGATATTGTTGCTTTTTACAATCGTTCAATTTAAATACCAAACATCCTATAGATGCAATCGGTAAAGTAGAAATGAGTTCCAACCCATCGTGCCCTTCTTCAGCAAAACAGAAATGTTACAAACTGCAATCAATAAACTTAAACATCGAAACTACTACTCCAACCGTACTCGATTCAGATAGCATCATTCCTGATATTTATTGCAATATCTTAACGTGCTTTACGTTGGTTTCCGACCTTCACCAGCTACAAGTATTAACTAAATCCTATACAGCCAATAGGATGAATACTAGTGATACAAATTATATCATCTTTGCTTGTACAAGTCAATGCCAACTTGTTGAATTCTTGCATGCTAAGCTTGTTAGACTGTATAAAATTCCTTTCGGTAATGCGATAGATGTAGCATGTGTAATGGTAAGCTAGGTACCAACAGCTTGATGAAATCATTGTTTTAACACAATGTTAACTACCATTTATCTTTGCCTTACAATCTTATTCTTTCACATTAGATTGAAGGTAATAATTATATATGGATTAAATCTGCTGATGACCACATTTGCATTATTAACCATCAAACTCAGCAGGTGCTACTTTGCATTCTATCTTTCAATTTGAAATGATATAGATGCAGAATAGGAACATCATCCAACAAATCAATACTTAAAGTAATTGTTATTCTAAATGAACTTTGTAGATTATTGAAAATAGGAGCAACGTTAGGCATGTACTTATAGACGATTTTGCTGGTCTTGGTCACGATCAAATTCTTTTCTTGTTTGAAGATTATCCAGGTTATATTTTATACTTGTAAAGGAAACAAATTTCTTTCTTTTCTTGTTTATGTATTCTCGTAATCAGGAGTCGATTCTCTCCCATTCAAACTTTATCGGTTTAAATTATTAAAAAATTTGTTCTATAATTGCTAATTATAAATTTATTATAACTTTAATTGTCATCTTAGTTATCTTACTGTCTATTTTCTTATTTTCTAACTAATTTTTTCCTGCTACATACAACATCACAGGGATTAAAAATTTCAACGAACACTATGCTCTTCTGGATTTAAATGACTTCATTTCTAGAAAATCTGAGGTATTTAAGACGTTATAACCACGTTAACTCCTATATTTATTAGTAATGTTATTGAAAATTTTTAGGAATCTGTCAATCAAGAGCATGCAGAAAGTAAGTCGGTAAAATATCCTGGACAAATTATGGCAATTAAAGCGTTGGATGCTAGGATACAGGTATAAATATTTGGTTATTCCAATGGTACAGCCTCGGATATTAACTATATCCAAACGGTCGTTGTAGTTTAAAAAGATATCTGACATTAAAATAGATTTTAAAATTTTACATTTATCTCATTACCTGCACAGAATCTAGCTGCTCAGCTTCATGAATTACGCTGTAAATTAAAACAGAAGCAAGACTTTGCAGCTAAAACACTTCAACTGGTTTCACAAATAGGAAACGGGTTGCCCCCGTCTCCAGTCGTAGATGTATGAAGCTTGTAAAATAATTCTAAATTTCTTACATAACTGTATAAAAATCTCTTCCATGGTTTCTAGTGCATGAAAGACATTGCAATGGTCTCTGATTACGCATGTAACTGACTCATAATATTGCTTATAGTCTACAGATTTGTTTACCTTGATTGATGGATCTGAAGAATTAGGATCAAATGATAATAAAACGTCGAAAATAAACCTTGGTAAAGTTATCATATCTATTAAGCATTGGACTATTACCGATGATCGACTTATAATTGCCTTCGAAATAGACAATAAATCAGAGAGGTACTGTATTATATCATATCTAAACCTTCAATAAAATAATATATATTATCCAACAGCTCATAAAAATCTATTCTCTTTTCCTATTAGCTATCTCTCATCAATAGCAATCGTTCTAGTAAGTAATGATAACGAAAGCCGAACAACGATCACATTACCCGTTTCGAATATTCGACAGACTGAAGAAACTTTAATTCCTTCTGGTAAACATTAGTTAATGAAAAAGTATTATTTTTCAACTCTGCTTAGTTCAATATAACTGCATGAAGTGATAGAATCAACAGTTTTCAAAACTGAATCATTGCCAATTAGATGCCAAAAGGCAAAAAATATCTGCTGAAGCCGATAATAGTACCGAAGATGATACAATCAACTCGATTAAACCTGGGACGAAAGTTCAAATCGTAACCGTAACGGAATTGCCAAATTTCATATTGACTGATTATTGTGACATTGACATATTATGCGCTTTGAAGCAAGATTTTACTGAAGAAACAGTTAGAAATTTCTTAATTTGTTACGGTGGTACCATAAGACTGACACCTGATGATTTTATAAAACATATTTCTACAAGTCCTCAGCTCGAAATCTGTAGTTGTTTAAAATTATCAGAAGCTAATATAAACAAGGTTGCAGTTGAGGTACAGTAACATTGCACCCTTCCGTACATTTCTATTGGTGCTTTTTGATGTATCCGTTTAAGTTCGCTTCGATTATAAAATTCTGTCATGCATTTTTATAACTCTAATAGCTATTAGTTCACCTGAATCACATCAACAACAATGATATCGTTGAGAATATGATTGGTAAACTAAAGTTGTCCCATGACCTTCAAGAAACGTTGACAACATCAGATCATAAGAAACAAAGCACTCTGTTACCAATGTCTAAAACACTCGTTGGATCATCCGGCTTACGTTTCACCATATTTACATCTGATGGCAAAACTTTTAATATTAAAATTTTTGCAAGGTAATTACTTACGTGATATTAGTTGTTGTAGTCCTATAGTTAACCACCCTTATCAATTAATATATATATCGTAACATGTACGTAATTCGATTTTTTAAATTTGTAACTAACGTCACTTTGTCATTCACTTGCAGGGATTTTAGATTGCTTGCATTAATTCTACGACTAGTTGTATCATTCCTTCCAAATGATTCTTTTATACGGCCTAAAATATTAGAGAGTGCATCCTTCAAGAAAGTAATTGAAGCTGCTAGTGATGCAATTGCCAATTACCTTAATCCGTCTTTTAATGTTCATCAACAAGCGTTAAAAGCTTCTAATGATAAACCGAATACCAACATCCACTTAAAAATAATTGATGATGACTCACAGTTAGTAAAGTGTACAGACAAAATATTATTGGCCTGCATCTTTACGGAACTGATAAAACTATTTCGAGATTAGTGACTGCATGTAACAAATAGAATTATCTATCTACATATTATTATTACTTACTTGAAATTGTTATAATGTACAAATGAATAAGTCAGATTTCTTATAACTAATTAATTATAACTTATTCCATCACTAGCTGATTAACTGGGACATTTGTAACAGTACACGATATGATACAAAACTATTTTTGTACAGCCGTTATTACACTTGAATTAAAATATGATTGATTGATTATTTTATTGAACTTGAGAATCTTTAGATTAACTTACTAGTTTAATGCCCCAAAATACCTAGCTAAAAAAAGCTGCGTATTTGGCTTCATGAAAATAAATTTATTGTGTTATAATTAATACCTTCTCATTTATGATTTATTGCCGTTGACCGTTGAGGGACCACCTAGCATGACAATCATACTTGATACGCATTCGTAACTCAAATTCAATTACGTCAAAACATTAATTGAATATGCTGGTCTTTGGTTATTGTTTAATGTACAGGATTAGTGATTTCAATAATGATTACATAATAATATTTTTTCAACTTAATCTAGGATCACAAATGAAAATTAGCCAATTGTACTTGAAAAGACTATACTGTTTTGCTCAATATAATGGGCTGATATGCCAATACGTTCCATGTACAGAGTAATATCACGTCATATTCCTTTACAATAACATATAGCATGATGTGTTATATCATGTGTATCGATATAGTGGAGAGAGCTGTGCTCGCATCCAAGACAAAGTTCAATTATCTCCGTTAATATACAGAACAGTAGCTTGTTCAAAATTTAAGCTCACAAGGCGTAACAACTGCGCTACGAAAATTTGGTTCACAACAATATGCGTATGTGTCATTGATTAGATTCAGTTGCAATTTTTTGGCTGGCTGAAGACAAAATTTTATGCAGACTACAGTGACGATAATAGATGTAGTCACGCGACGTAAAGAATTGAATTTTGGATTACATTAACTACGAAACCATGCACTAAGTTGAAATATTCCATCGATGTACAACAACCAATGTCAGGATCATCTTTGTAAAAGCCGTTGTCCTAAGTACGATTTTGTCGGAAATTACTTCTGCCCCTACCTCTTGATCTTGGCGGATGATTGCCAGAACCGGTACCTCTGTTGTTATAATATCCATGTCCCTATTGATGATTACGATAGATGATACATCAGCATTGTACAGAAAGACTGAAATCGATATTAAAATTGAATAATCTCCATTTAAAATTTATCTATAAAACCTGATCATCATAGGAGGCTCTGCTATCATGAGGTTGTTGATGACTACCAAATCCGGTACCTCTGTTGTTATAATATCCATGTCCCTATTGATGATTACGATAGATGATACATCAACATTGTACAGAAAGACTGAAATCGATATTAAAATTGAATAAACTCCATTTAAAATTTATCTATAAAACCTGATCATCATAGGAGGCTCTGCTATCATGAGGTTGTTGATGACTACCAAATCCGGTACCTCTGTTGTTATAATATCCATGTCCCTATTGATGATTACGATAGATGATACATCAACATTGTACAGAAAGACTGAAATCGATATTAAAATTGAATAAACTCCATTTAAAATTTATCTATAAAACCTGATCATCATAGGAGGCTCTACTATCACGAGGCTGTTGATGACTACCAAATCCGGTACCTCTGTTGTTATAATATCCATGTCCCTATTGATGATTACGATAGATGATACATCAACATTGTACAGAAATACTGAAATCGATATTAAAATTGAATAATCTCCATTTAAAATTTATCTATAAAACCTGATCGTCATAGGAGGCTCTGCTATCATGAGGCTGTTGATGACTACCAAATCCGGTACCTCTGTCGTTATAATATCGATGTCCCTATTGATGATACACCAACATTGTACAGAAAGACTGAAGTTGATATTAAAATTGAATAAACTCTATTTAAAATTTATCCATAAAACCTGATCATCATAGGGGGCTCTGCCATCATGAGGTTGTTGATGACTACCATATCCGGTACCTCTGTTGTTATAATATCGATGTTCCTATTGATTATTACGAAAGATGATACATCAGTATTACATAGAAAGACTGAAGTTGATATTAAAATTGAATAATCTCTATCAAAATTTATCTATGAAACCTGATCATCATAGGGGGTTCTGCTGTCATGATGAGGTTGTTGATACGTTTGTCGTGGTAGCTGCCTACTAGCAAAGTTCGGGTCAAAACCTTTACCGCGATGGCCACGCCTTTGTGTTGGCCTCCTCTATGTCGACTATCATCATGATCGTTAGCATATCCATCATCGAACGTATCCTGTTGTCGTGTTTCAACTTGACGGTCATTGTCTACAAAATATACAATTTGCTGTTCATTATAACTCAATCTACCACAATCTCGACTAATAATAATAACGAAATGTTAGCAATGTGTAACGGAATCTACTACCGTATTTTAGAACTTCGACTCTTACCCTTGAGATTTAAGTGCTTATCTAGGGCATTCCAAAGTGCCATCTTTCCAGATCTTGCGTTACCCCGCGGCGGTCCAACTCCTATGAACAGTACTTACCAGTTACTAACGAAAATTTTGGCATACGATATTGAGCATTTCGGCTAATTCAAATACATTCTGAAGAATCATATATAATTACTGGGATATCAACTTCTATGCGGATCGAATAGTACCATTAACAGGATAATTGCTAAAATTGTTTTGTCATAACAACGTTTAATTCATATAAGAACTCATGTAACCTCTGGCAGGCTCATTTCGCTTACGCGTGTCTTCCACAGATCTAGAAGAATCCTGGCTACTTGCTCCTATACAAAAAGTTCTCGATAGTAATTCTATTTATAGTTTTAAGATCATAATCATTGTCACGAAAATCTAAGAAAATATTACGAGTAATTACTACAGTTACCTTGAGAACGGTGTGTCGCTTGATCTGAGCGATCGCGCCAATTCTGGCTACTATCATCTATAATTTAAAATACCCAAGCGCTATTAAGTAAAACAAGGTAGCATATTTTACGCTATTCCTATTAAACATAGGCCAATGTACTAACTTTTACTGTAGCCGCTACGAGCATCCTTATTATAAGATTTTTCGGTTCGATTATGATTATTTCCTTGCTGTTGTTTAAAATTTTTAGAGGAATTACTACTGTTAACTTTAGTAGTCTCTTGTTTAGCCATATTAGGATTATTCTTGATATATTCTTGAAAAGGAATAAATGCTGGAGGTCCAGAAGAGCCGCCATCACTAGACGTTTTAATTAAAGCCTAACAAGTTGAATAAGTCAGTTGTTAATTTCGACAAAAATTTTGGAATTCTAAATTAACTTTTGTCGTATTACTTAAGGTTAAGAACTTCAGATAGCAAATAATTCTAATGATATAATGTAAACCTGGCCCGCTTTGCCTTTCCGTATTAACTTTTCGACGTTTCCACCTAATAACTTGGCATTTTCATTGGTTAATAATAGCATTCCGTTTCTGGCTTGAACTTCAGCTTTTAAACATATTTTGGTACCAGGAAAGGTCTTTAAACTGTACCACAAACAAAACACATATACAATTTCAAGAAATGATCCTATTATAAATTAAACTGTATGTTAGCTTTGAGTTATTTATACAATATTTTTATCGGTTTCATAAGACTAACGAAAGGCCCTGGATACTGGAAATATCTAATGCTGTGCATGTTGAGTGTCCATCAGACAAGTGAATGCGTAATAACGGTGGAGCTGTTTGAGATTCTTGATTGGAACTTGGAGCAGCTATGTTTGTAATTTTAATAACTTGTAATACCAGAGGGTACGGAACCTATTTGTTTGGCATTTATGAGTAGTTGATTAGTATAATGGTAGAGTTATGATATTACTATTTTATAATCAAACTGCAACTCCTACTACATCATGTAAAATTCCTAGATTAAATAGCAGTATGTTGAGGGCTGGAACCATTTGAAAATCTCTTTCCTATACAATACACTGTAGATTCAAGCACCTTTGATACAGTACTATCGATCAAGATTGGTGCATACTATCGTGCGTTTATCGCAAATTTAGTTGATTTACGTTCTGAAGTATCATGAAGGGACCAATATCGCTTATTAATCAATCAGATTACGTGTATCATTTAATCACAGCCCATGCGTTTTTGATCAGATTGAACGCGCTTTAAATTATCTTCGGTATATATCTCTTATTAGATTTAACATTAATTATCATTAAGTACAAATCAATTGAGGATGTAGCAAAAAAACATCAAACTGTAATGTGTATGAGTTGTTTTCCTTAAAATTATGACCTTATTGGAAGTACTCCTGCCAACACCATCTGGTAAAATTTTCTTACACATACCTCGAATATCCAGCTATTATTGAGATATTACGAGTATAAGTTAATAATGTATATTGCAATAATAAATGACATACTCCTAACAAACACGGCAGCATACTTGTAAAATGATGTATCGAATTCTAAAACTGATCTAAACATCAAAACCTGAATATGTCGTACTTACATCCAATGCAGTTTTGATGACTGAATCAGCAGAAACATTTCTGTTATCATTACTGCAATCCTTAATAGCTTCAGGAGTAAGGAACCTAAGATCAAATGAATGTGATGATGAACGTTAAACTATAATTCTTAATGAAGAAGATAACGATGAGACTTTATTTCTACTTTAATCTACTCGTATTTGGCAAATGTAAATATAGGTAAGTATTTAAGGTCGGTAAACTTTTGACAACGGTCAAGAATAGGGGGTTTTTAAAAAGTCTTGTTGCAAAAATTTGCACCAACTTTCATGATTGATCCGATTTTGACAAAGTCGATTGAGGCTCAATGAGTAAAATGAAAATTATTTCCAGTTTATTTCCTGGAGACTGCAGTTTACTCGTATGTCAAAATATACTGCAGCCTCAAGCTATGATAGAGCTCCATCATTTCTAATACTGTACATATGATATAATTTATTTTATTTAAACAAACTGAATAAAACTTTAGAGAATTTAGCTTTATTATAAGGTGAAATTCATCCATTCGACTATTTGCGAATACGCTCTGGAGCTACTTTAACATCATATTGTTGCGAAATCAGATTCATATTGATGCATACTACGATGTTGATACCCTTGTACTGTATGTATAGTTCACCAACTACTGTAGCTACTTTCAAGGCTAGAAAATAAAGGTTACTAAATACTGTACGTGGTAATGTAGAGTACATGAATTGATTTATAATATAATAAGAGCCAACATGAGAGATAGTTCATCTTCTCATGCTAAAAGATGTGCTGACCGCTCAATACACGTAGCAAAATCAAGAATCATCCTCTTATCCTTATTTGCAGTCCTACCATCCTTTCTTTTCTAACGCATTTTGTAATTCAGGCATTGCAGGCAGAAGATTCCTGTGACAAGCGAGCAAGTTGGATCAATTGATATTTGGACTTCAATGCTAGAAAAAGCGTTGAAATCCAATGGACAATCTCGAATTATTTTAGTCCTGTTGACTCAATGGCTGCCTACTGTTGATGTACCATTCTGCATGAATAAATTAGGCAGATAGTAACAGCAGTCTGTCAGCAACGACAACTGCACCAGTCAAGTGAAGTTGTACAATGTACAGTGCAGTAGAGTACAGTACAAAGGTGATTTTACCATATACAGTACTGTACCGTACTACTGTACGTACTGTACTGTATACGGTACAGTGTACAGTGTACAGTACGTACTATCCTACAGTACTGTACTGTACACAGTAATACAGTACTACAGTGTACAGTGTACAGTGTGTATAGTACAGTACTGTACTGTACTGTACTGTACGTAGACCAGACCATAAAGACCTCTACTGCGCACTGGACGATTGATTCAAGAGTGAATCAATAGACATGTAGCGTGTACATTGGTGTACAACTAGTGTAAAATTTGGTCATCGCGATTTTCATTTTGCCATAGTACCAGTAACGTAGTACAGACAGTACAGTACACTACACTACTACAGTACTGTACAGTACTGCACGTACTATACGGACAGTATGGTACAGACGGTTGCTGGGTTAAAGTGTCAAGATTCAAGAGTGAATCAATAGACATGTAGCGTGTACAAGTGTACAACTATACTGCACACTGTCCATGGTAAAGTGCTGTGGTCTGGAACATCAGTCGTCCAACGTCAGTCGTGAAGCGCAATTGACTCGCTCATCGACGTTGAACAGTCTTTGAGAGCTAGTTGAAGTCTCTGACCACGTCACACCGTCCGGTTGACGCTGAACCCCATTCTACTGTACAGTGTACAGTGTACAACTGTACTGCACACTGTCCATGGTAGAGTGCTGTGGTCTGGAACGTCAGTCGTGAAGCGCGATTGACTCACTCATCGACGTTGAACAGTCTTTGAGAGCTAGTTGAAGTCTCTGACCACGTCACACCGTCCGGTTGACGCTGAACCCCATCCTACAGTACTGTACAGTGTACAGTGTACAGTGTACAACTGTACTGTACAGTACTGTACTGTACTGCACACTGTCCATGGTAGCGTGCTGTGGTCCGGAACGTCAGCCGTGAAGCGCGATTGACTCACTCATCGACGTTGAACAGTCTTTGAGAGCTAGTTGAAGTCTCTGATCACGTCACACCGTCCGGTTGACGCTGAACGCCATTCAACTGTACAGTGTACAACTGTACTGCACACTGTCCATGGTAGCGTGCTGTGGTCTGGAACGTCAGTCGTGAGGCGCGATTGACTCCACTCATCGACGTTGAACAGTCTTTGAGAGCTAGTTGAAGTCTCTGACCACGTCACACCGTCCAGTTGACGCTGAACACCATTCTACTGTTACTGCACACTGTCCATGGTAGAGTGCTGTGGTCTGGAACGTCAGTCGAGAAGCGTGATTGACTCCGCTCATCCACGTTGAACAGTCTTTGACAGCTAGTTGAAGTCTCTGATCACGTCACACCGTCCGGTTGACGCTGAACACCATTCTACTGTACTGTACTCGTTGAACAGTCTTTGAGAGCTAGTTGAAGTCTCTGACACGTCACACCGTCCGGTTGACGCTGAACGCCATTCTACTGTACTGTACTGCACACTGTCCGTGGTAGAGTGCTGTGGTCTGGAACGTCAGTCGTGAAGCGCGATTGACTCCTCCACTCATCGACGTTGAACAGCCTTTGAGAGCTAGTTGAAGTCTCTGACCACGTCACACCGTCCGGTTGACGCTGAACACCATTCCACTGTACTGTACTTTGTACTACTGTACTACACACTGTCGATGGTACAGTGCTGTGGTCTGGAACGTCAGTCGTCAAGCGCGATTGACTCGCTCATCCACGTTGAATAATCTTTGACAGCCAGTTGAAGTCTCTGATCACGTCACACCGTCCGGTTGACGCTGAACACCATTCTAGTGTACAGTGTACAGTAGAGTAGATCAGCTTCAGACAATCGCTCGATACGTCCGTCCTCCGTGGACGACGTGCAGTCCAGTCAGAAAACACAAGTGCTTCAAGCTAAGCGCAACACACTCACCCTATTGTATTCTATTGTACGCCAGTGGACGCTGGGCAGGTCAACCAGTTATCAGCAAGCTGCTGACTCGGAGATCATACTGAGATTGTCCGTGGTAGTGTGGGGTGTCACTCTACGTACGCCACATTGGCCTAGCAATTTTTTTTTCTCTTTGAAAAATTCCAAGTGGACACAGGGAAAAAGTGCAAAGGAAAAGAGGAAAACAAGCAGTTTTCTCTTTCCTTCCTTGTCAATAACGTGTGGTAAGCAATGTCAAATTCGTTTATACCAGGAGAATTGTCATTTATCCCTTTGCTTACATTCAATCCTATTCATAGTGACGTTCGGACTTTGTGATACATTGTCATGATAGCAGGCAGGAATCGATCTGCTACAAATACAGTCATAGGATAAGATGGAGTTGAACATGCTCTACTTTACGCATCCAATCTTCAACCAATTGCTGTCTATCTTGCTGAAATTGCATGTAATTTAGGCTAGGAATAATGGGATCATAGTTCAGTGTAGGACCATGGATCTGCTCCATGCTTAATACAACGCGTTGCAGGGTATAGACAACGAGGCTGATTTGATTTGTTAGGATTCAAACAACGACAATACCATTTCATTCTCCAATCGACTTGTACCAACAACATGGATCGATCTGTAAAGGGTTGAACTAATTTCGCTCTATCCTTCTTATGCTTTATAGGCATTGTAAATAGCCAATCATTCATTGGATAGCTACAGGCAATCCGATTGCTTTCCAATCGAAAATTATCCACATTCAAACGTACTGTACTGTAAAAACAAATTGAAATCATGGCTGATAAAGATAAAAAGAACGATAAAGGATTGGTAAGTTGTAAAAGACTCTTCAAGAATGAATCAAAACGATGTGAATATTGTCATTAAATTCCATTTCGGCAATATCCATTTTTAATTTTATATAATCTAACGAGCTCTTTTTGAGACGTTTTTGACTGTAACATTTTTAACTGTACGATACCGTAGACAACAACGATAACTGCAGTACTCCAGTTCAAATGATCAATGAATCGATTGGACTTATCTAAACACTAAATCTCCAAATGACTATTGCAACCGAATAGCAAACTGTGATTGAATTATTTCTTCCATCGTAACTGATTGTACACCAGTAGAATAGATAGCCTATCAATCATGACAGTGACCTTTAAAGAAAGGAATGTAGCCATTCTGAAAATCTCGTGTGGTTAATTAAAACAACTGCCAAGTCCCCAGCGTAGCGATGTACATCATCAAATCGATCATGGTGCATTCATCCATACAATTTTATTCGTTCTTATCCAATACACTTGGTATTAGTTTAGTTGTCGCTGATATTTTCTTAAATGACAATCCCTTCTTTAAATCTACTTCTTAACACTACGTAAAAAAAC